GACTGGATGGGAAAATACTTGCCTCTCGGTCAGGACTCACCATTAGGATTGCTACTTTCATGAGTTGTAACAGGCATGAAATGTTATCACTACACAAAATTGCTTAAACTGTGGGATCATTCCCTTTAGAACTGTACATTATGGTGAACACTAGTAGCAAATGCACCCCTTCAATCACAAAATAAATTTTTAAAAAAACAACAACAACCAAAACAGCAAGCGATAAAAGGAGAAAATGAAGCAAAGATTAATTTTACCTGTACATTTTTGCAGTTTTACCATCAAGTTCTGGAATGGCTATTTCCGGAGCAGTTGTAGGATATGTAATGGGAATCTAGCAAAAGTATAAGTAAATAATTTTCAGCATGATTTTGGTACATATATATTTAAAATATAGCTTTCCCATAACCTTAAAGCAAGTTCCAGGGATGTGCAGTGGTGAGAGCGCTTGTCTCCCACCAATATTCGATTCCTGGAACCAGCGTCAAATGTGGGTTGAGTTTGTTGTTGGTTCTCTACTCTGTTCCGAGAGGTTTTTCTCCCGGTACTCCAGTTTTCCCCTCTCCTCAAAAACCAACATTTCCAAATTCCAATGTGATCCTGGAATGCACAGGCATTTCTGAACAAGTTCTTGTGAACTCCTTGGTGCTCCATGCGTAAACAAATTACATATTTACATTTACATTTTTTTTTTTCACCCTTAGGGTAACAGTAGAGGAGAAACACGAAGAACTTCCAAGGACATTTCATACCGCTGAACGCTGTTTCTCCTCAACAAAAACTAGTTTAATTGGCCAATTTCAATATATTAAAATTCTTACTTAGCTCCGAGGCTTTTGGGAATAAAACAAAAGAAATAAATTATTCATCCCTCATCCTTAATACAATTTCTTTTGTTTTATTTCTTTGAGCCTCAAAACTGTTAGAATTTTAATATATCGAAATTGACGTATTGGACCGCCTTTCTTTTCTTTTTACCCAATTCTCATTTGATCAATTTTGGTAAGTTTTAGTATTAAATCTGATGCCACATGACTCTAGGCATTACAAAACATGCAAGAGTGCTTTGCAGTCCATTTTCGAAGTCATACATGGATGCACGTTAGACAAGTGCTTTTACTTCAGAATAATTTATACCATCCTTTTTTGAAGACTATCTAGAGGAAAACCGGGGACACTAGAAATTAAGGAAACTGGCGTGATTGGCCTCCAAGCCTGTCCAGTGTTTAATTTTTAGCCCTTCTTCAGGAATAAGGCAGATTTCTAAAATATGGCTGAAGTCCTGAGATTTTTCATTACTAAAAATACAATGAAACTTACATCAAATTCAATGTCAAATTCGTACTTCAAAAGGTTGTGGACATACCAGCATTTACCAAACCATCTATAAAGTGAAGAAATATATGATGAACAAGTAAGATGAAGCAAGTTGCTTGAAGCCATGCCCATTAACAAATCTGTGTAGAACCAAAGCTGGGAGTTTGAATAGCTGATTATCGAGCAGCAAAATAAGTCTATTCAATTTCACATAATTTTATCATAATTAAGGAATTTGAACAAATTCTTTAATTAAACCCACTCCTGGCCAGATATTTACAAATTTTATCTGGAATGGGCAGGAAAGAAGAGAGCCAAAGGGTAGGGGGGCAGGGATGGACCCAGAATTTTTCTGAGGAGGGGTGCACCACTAAAGAATGGCATAACTGTTTTTTTTTTTTTGCAGAATACCAGTTATATTAGAAAGCTGCATGTCATCTCAGGGGGAGGGGGGTTTGCACTCCTAGCACCCTCCCCCTAGATCCACCCCTGGGGGGATAGACATGAACATTGCTGGTATTGACTGGTGATTAGCATTTGATAATCAACAGAAATCAGCATGATTCTAGGAGGCCACCTCAAGTGACAATTAATTAGCAGAAAACTAGCTTAATAACAGCTTAATATACTATTGGCTATTTTAATTAGTTATAATCTTAATGGTTTTGGTTTTAAAAACATTTAAACAAATTTTACTCTTTTTACAGCCGTTAAAAACCCTACATAACTTAAACTTAATTTAAGATTAAATTATCTCAGTGGATTGTGATCTAAACAAGTCACCTCGTTCCTTCCTTATTTGATTCAAGTCTAAACCAGTCGTTGTCTGCTTCTTTGTTGTTACTCACATACTAAAAGAAACAAAAGAATTAAAAGCTCTATAATTAATTAAGTACACGTAAGCGGAAGTCACGTTTAATATTAAGTAAAACTACATGTTCCATTTTACAGTTTTTCACTTTCATAAACCCCCAATTGCAAAACACAACATACCTTGATCAAGCTGGTATATTCCTCTTTTAACCTCTGAACCCAAGCATCGCTATCGCGAGGTCCAGCTTTTGTTTTTAAAGTGGGAATAGATGCAACCGTTCGCTTTGTTGCTTCGTCCACCATCTTTGAAATCGGAATCTATCAGATCCGAGATACCCTTCATGTAAAAGGGCACAGAATACCAGAACCCAGGTCCCATCGTCTGTTGCCGATACCACGGGAGTTTCTGTAAAACGAGACCGGATTGCGGCGGATGGCGGAAGGCGGATTGAAAAAGCGGATGGAAAAATAAGGTTGAAAAAATGCGAAAGAAAAAAGTATACCGTAAACTTCCGAAAGTAGCGAGCCCCCGAAAGTAACATCAAAAAAATGTGGCCGCAAGTAAATCCCGAAAGTAGCGACCCCAACCCCCCCCCGAAAGTAGCGAGTCCATCCCTATCCCAACCCCGCACCCAGAAAATATTATGACCAAGGTTCAAAGGTATATTTACATTTCTAATCAATAGTCGAGTGAAAGTTACGTACAGTACTATAGTTGATAAATAAACAATAGCCTCCATTTGGCGCGGAAATATGCTCGGATATTTGTCCGCGGACATTGTCTGTTTCGAGAAGCGAACAGTTTTCCGAGATCGTAGCTCAGAAAACTGAGCTTTGAGGAACAGAGACCCTCCATTGCCTTCAAAAATCATGCCCGAGGTAATTGAACCGTCCAGCCGTACTGTAATCATCTTTTATTTCTGCTAGTTTCTACAGAACGGTTATCAACATTAAAAATAGGTCCACGGTAAGCGTTAAAAACAGGTCACAAGTCACATAAACGGTTGCGTGCTGTTGCGTGAAGCAACCTCGCAATAGCGACGTTTCTTGTTGATATTAGGGAGTTTAAGTAACTACGACGGCGACGCCGAGGTCAACGTCGACTAAAAAAAAGGAATTTAGATTTAACCTGCAAATTTCGCGATTCTCTAAAGTCATTTAGTTTGTTTATCACTGTTAATTAATCTCGAAACTGAATATGGAACACAGTGTAATATACGAAATATAAATTTTAAAAATTATCCACCGTGGTTCACGCTCTCCACACAACGCAGACTTTGGTAATTTCACGTTGCTGTTTTGCAGAGGACGGCAAAGAAATACACCTCGAATTATAACGCACGTGCCCAGACATTGTATTGCTTTTTAAATCTATTGTTTAGCGACGTTCCCGTTGCGGTTGTAGTTTTCTTAAACTCCCTAATACAACATGGACGACATTTTTGATCACGTGTGCCAAAAATCACTATCGAGCGGGTGAAATGCTTTTCTTACGGTCGATTTTCCAAAATGAATTTCGATGTGCCAGTATTCGAATTTGCTTGAAACGTTGTCAATAACAAAATCCGCCTGGGGGCTTCTCAAGAAAGCTCTAAAACAACTAATTTGCGATCACAAAAAGTTACGAACTTAAATGTCCGGTAGTCTACCCGACTACATTTTAAGTTATCCATAGATGAAATAATCATTGTTTGGAATCATTAAACTCCTCATACCATCTAGTATAAAACCTGGAAATTTTACAAAACGTTTTGTATAGATTGTATATTAAAACTATTATATTATCAACCCCTCCCCCAATATTAAATATACAAGATCTCTTTGTTCGATATTTACAATATTTAGAGAGGATAGGAAGCGACATCAGCCTTAGCTCTCGAAAAAATATCTTGAACGTAAAGAATACAACATGAAAAACGATTCCATTTTGAGCCATAAACTTAAGAAATAACCCCGCTACGCAAACACTTAGCTTTAATTTTCAGAGAATACGATCTACAAAGTTTCTTCTCGCCTCCAGCTCGTTTGTTTAATGACGTTACAGGTGTTTCGCAGTTGCTGGAACAACCTCGCTCCCAGGGTCCTCTCTATCTTCCTCTCTCGAGAGGAGTCTGGGAACGAGGTTGTTAGTTGAATACGCTAAACGGCTCTCATAGTCTTTCTCTCTGACGTAGCAGTCCTCCAAAGCTTTCTACTTCCAAATCTCCAAAGCGAAATTCTCCAAAGTAACGGTGCAAGAAGAAGACTGATAGTAGTTACGCTAAGAATGATGAGATAAACCTGGAAGAGTAAAACAGTAACATCGGAAGGTTAGAGACTTCAACAAAGTAGCGGAAACAGAGTTCAAATTTTATCTCAAACAATTATCAGTGAGCTGATGAAACTATTCGTGCAAGTAGTAGCTATGGAACGGTTCTTTCGTGTGGTACCACGTTCTATTCCGTTTTGTTTTGTTACCTCCTCAATATTTTACATGACGAAATGCAGATCTTTTTAACAGTTTCGAAGTTGTTCACTCCTTTTAATAGCGTGAAAGGAAATCAACCACGAAAACATAAAAAATCAAGTGGCAAGTGTGGTAAAACATGTAACCATGATGAGGCAAATGCGACGAAAACCAATCCTTCCCGCGCTAATTTCCCTGCGCGTTTTTGCGTATTTCCTTCATATCCTCATTTGCTTTTCGATGCTTTGCTTCCAGTTTTAAGACACTAAATTGGAAACCACCGTCAAAAGGCTACGGTTATCAGCCTGAAAACTTACCTCTCTGGAAATTAGATGAAACCTTCGTGCTCGGCTTCCCAGGACAAACGAAAATTCACTGACTTGAGCGAGCCCTGCAGCAACGATAAACTTCGTGCTCCGCGACTCACACAAGAACATGCGAAGGACAAACACTGAGACCACGAACTGCAAGATAAAACACAGTAAATACACAGGCAAACTCAAGTCGAATCAGCGTACAAATAAAATTCCTGAATCTCCAGCGAGAGTTAAACCCAACAACACCAACAGGTAAGTAAAAGGGTAGCTTAAGTCTGCATACGAGCCAAGTTGCCCATCAGGCCGGCGCTTATCTCTGGTTTCTGTTGCATAAATGAACTAGGAGTATTTCTACTCTCCCCTGGATGGGATGCTAATCCATCGTACGGTTACCCCCAGCATAAATTTGCCGGTACCCATTTATACACCTGGGTGGAGAGAGGCACTGTGAGAGTAAAGTGTCTTGCCCAAGAACACAACACAATGTCCCCGGCCAAGGCTCGAACCCAGACCGCTCGATCTGGAGACGAGCGCACTAACCATGAGGCCACTGCGCCTATACAACAACAATTACAGTGAGCAACTTGATTTATTTGCACATCCGTTTAAGTAACAATAAACTCATGACTTTCAAGATACCAGTTGATGTTGTAATCACAGAGCTATGGGAAACTCGTTATGAGCTTTATTACTTACCCCTGTAACTACATTATATAGTAACAGGAGGCCCTTTAACTGCAAGGGTCAATGATCTCGAGGTGATAAATGTTAGTAGATGGAACGATGGCCTGGACGAAAGTGAATAAAAAAGAAGTTCATTCACTTTGATCCAAGCCACAATTCCACTTAACACAACGATCCTTTGACATAAAAGCGGAAGGGACAAATAGGGTTTAAAGTTCATTGGCTTTTATCTTATAAGTAGCAAAATTTTCTTGTCATATTTTCTGTAAACTAGCCTCTATTAAGGGTGCACCTCTTCTAAGCAGTAACTATTCAGGGTCCCGCAAGTTTCACTGCAATATCTCCTTACGAAAACACTTTCTTTTTGTATTGGTATTTTTTATTTCTCCACTTGACAATGTGTATCAACAGTATTGTTGAATTCTTAGGAATGAAAGGAAAGTGAAAAGGGCAAAATATAGTAAACTAATTAAAAGCCCATTAATTACATACATTTATTTTAGGATAAAAAGAAAACTAGTATAAGAGAGGAATGAGTAAACACATAGTAGATAAATAGTTTATGTTAGACTTATTAATACTGAGCAAAACAAAACAGGTAAAGTGGTTTTTAAAATAGTTTTCTAGTTGGCTTATTACATATAGATAAAGGATGTCATTCCAATAACAGCATCCAATACTAGTTAGGCAAAATTTTCTTATATTTATTCTGAAAGATTTTGGATTTAGGTGTTGTATAGCCTCCTACGCAGACTCTTTGGGCTGGTCACGCAATCTTCCTCCCACGTGACCAAGCCCAAAAAGTGTCTGTGACAAGATTGCGTCACCAGCCAAAAGATTGTCTGTGACAAGATTGCGTGACCAGCCCAGAGTGTCTGTGAACAAGATTGCGTGACCAGCCCAAAGAGTGTCTGGAGGGGAGGCTAGGAATTGTAAGAACGCACTTTGAGTAGCATAATTATGTTGCTCAGATACTAGAGACAGGATGAAATTCTTTTTAAGCTAGAGTGTAAGGTACAACTTTGTAGGGTTTGTAGGAATTACCTACCTTTACTGACACAACACCAAGAGTAAGAGTCAACACAAGAGGAAATTCATTCAATACAAATGTAGGAAAAACATGAAGACCTGTCAGACAAAATGGCAACAATAAACTAAAACTTATGTTTATGTCAAACAACCAACATCCCAAGTGACCTCAACAACGTTTCTGTGTGAATAAAAAGTGCTACGTCATGGAATTTCTGGCCATTTTTACCAATGATTAACTGGTCATGGCTTGTCAACTGTAGAAAAACTCAAAAGAAGTTGAAACCTTTTTTGGCATTCTTGCTTTTTTCAGAAACTGGAAAAAGGCCATGAATGGGCAAAATTAGAGACAAATAAATGGAAAATCATCCTTATTTGGCTATTGTGACCACTGATTCTGACAATACAAGACTGTAATTTGAAGTTAAGAGCTCATAACGCATAACTAAACACCATAATCTATTGTAAAATACTGTGACTTCGACCCTTACATGGAACCTGCAATTTTTGTCAGAAGGGAAATTTGTCACTAAAAACATGCTTTTGGAGAATCAGCACTTACCAATTGATGCAAAGAATAGACAAGAAAAGAAATCACGCAAAGGTTCCACGAGCTCGTTGACCTAGAGAAAGAAAACAACCAAGATAAAATGAAATGCACAATGACAACCCCTTGCCATCAAAACTAGCTAGGTCTCATTGCTGTGTTCAAGGCAAACTGCTGAAATAAATTTAGAGTAAACACAGTACAATCATTTGAAATAGAATTGACTTCGTGTATTACTGTACATTTGTACGTAGTTTTCTCAGTCAAGTAATTTATGACAAAAAAGGCTCATGCAATTTTGAGAGAATTTTCAAATATCACTCAATTTAACCTAAATTTTTTTAAAATTGCAGTCACATGCATACGATTACCTATGCATTTAAACATTGTCTGTCAGTACAATTAGTTAATTAGTTAATTACTTTAATGTCCTCCATACCCTCATCTAATACAGCTTACTGCAAAAAACTCTTATCTTTTCTGTTCACCTTATGTACAAGATGTTCTCCATTAGAACTCAACACTACTCCAGCCATAAAACAGCCGAGCTCCATAGAGATTCCTAAATGTTCAGACAACTGCAATTAAGAAATAACAAGTCAGCTAAAGAAGGAGGGGGGGACCAGTGACAGGTCCCAAGGGGGGGGGGAATTTCATGTGAAAGTGTCGGGGATGCTTGTTGGGAAATTTGAACTGGACCTCTAACCAAGACCAAATGGGCATGCTAGAGTTGTATTTGAACCCTAAACAACAACAAGCATCCCCAATTCTTTCTTATGGGAGTCCCCCCNAATTTATTTCATTTGGGTCCACCCAAATAGCCATTTGATTCAGACGTGCAGATTAACGAGATTATTTTGGTAGTTTTCAAATCTTATTGAATTGTGGTGCATTTTAAAATTAACTGTAAACCCGTCACTGAGCTTATAAGTAAGGCAACAGTTGAAAGGATAAACAACAATCATGTTGGATGGAAAGTGTTACTTTGCAATACCACTCGGTTAGAAAAACGTATTAATCGGTCGTTCTAGCGTTGCGCGGAAATAAAAAAAGTGCAGAAGATACCTTTTGCCGGTCACCATACCATACAAAAGTTTAAGACCATTTGTTTTTTGTTTGTTTTGGTTTTGAATTCTCATCTGATTAGATATTAGATGTACGACTATATTTCCATATTATCCTATATTCTGCTTTAAATGTTACCGACATTTCCCGGAATTGAGGCTGTTTTCCGAGAACAATTAGTCACGCATATCAACAGCTCTGGTGTCTTCGACTTGTGAGCTGTTGCAAAATCAAATCGTAATCCTGGTTGCTCACTCACTGGCTTCGTCAACCCATATGATAGATATGTTATAGCGTTACTTTAGAAATGGTAAAATATTCCGTCATTTTGGTCCTTTTTTATTTACAAAACTACTTCTCAATACTCTACAAAGAGATTTCACAACATTTCGCAAAACACAATAAAATAAACTAACCACTAATGTTTTGTGTGATATTTCATTATTTTCAGCGAGGTTTAGCCAAAGCAAATGCGAAAAGCCACAGCTATTGAGTTATGTTGCGGTAGCATTTTCTTCTTGTCTCAGTGAATTTCATGTATTTGTTTACATTTCAAGATCACTGAGTAAGTTTCGTCGGTTGGGAGTATAAGAATGTAGTACAACAAATATGTTACAACAGCAGAGCATAAAATAGTGTCATATCTTTGCTAACTGCCCCAACAAAGAAATGTAGAGTGGTTTAACTCTTTCTTACGACCACTGTAATCACACGAACGTGTTTTTTTTTTTTTTCACCAACTTACCATTAATTTTAAAATGAAATAGGAATATCAATGTAAATTGTTATGTTACTGGCCTGCCTAGATTACAATACAGTACTTACGCACCAGTTCACACCAAGACTGAATTAATTTGATCACTAAAATAAAGTTGGACGTTCAAAGCTAAGCTGCTCACTACAGCCATTTCACTGATAAGGTTTATCATGAGCAGGATATTTAGTGCCAGCCTATACGAACGAACGATCGGCATACGCACGAGCACGACCCAAATTTCGGTGACGCAACGTTGCTAGTACCGTGGCCTTGTATGCTGAGAGAGAAGCACTGCAACATACAACTAACAGTATCAATTTTTCGAGGTAGCTAGCTAGCTTAAAGGTTCTTTTGCGGGAATTGAAAATTTGACTTTCAGGTGAAAAAAAACGATCGCGTATCACTGCTTCCCAAATTCTCAGGTGTACAAGTTATAATATGGCATATTACTGGAAATATATGAAGTACTAAAAACTATCGCCCCAGACGGAATAGTAAAACATACATAAAAAGCGATGAAAAGTTAAGTAAACATCCTGCCCAAGTTAAACGGATGTACGGAGCGAACTTCTTTGTTAGTAATAAACGATTGATCCTAAGGAATTGAAAAGTAGCTCTGATCGATGATTTGGGACAAAATAATGGAATACAATGCCTTCATAACTTCGTAACGTTATCAAGGTCTATATTAAAAAAAAAACAGTAACAGGAACTAGGTTGATTTACCCATCTTTATAAAAACAAAAGGAATAACTCACTGAGATGTCAATAAATCTCGTTTTTCTTTCTTTATAACCACTGAACTTCTCCGAGTTTCTCCTAACTTTCCGTCACCTCTGGTTAAACTGATAAATTGATGTTTGACTAGATTGTCCACCTGGCTTGGCAATTGTTGGTAGCGCACCAGCCCACGATAAGATGTAATTACTGTTTTAGGCGTTGTTTTAGTCTGTTTCTCAACGAAGGAATTTCACTTTTCCCCTTGCTAAAACGCACTGAAACTAACACGATACCACCTGATGACAAATCTATTTATGAAAGAAATTGTACACTCTTCCGTTGTGTAAACTGATAGCATATCCGATTATATTTATCATGAACGAATCGAATAATTTGTGCAGTTTTCCGTTTGCAAAAACTCGCTCGAACTGAACAGATATTACGTGGCAAATCTGATTTCTACCTTTGCCGCCACTTCAGTTGAATTTTACCTTAGTTGTTGTCTGATAAAATCGTAAAATGTTTTGCATCATGCGGCCCAATCGCAGGTGAACGTCGGATGTAACGAAAGCCAGACGGCCGATACAACGCACACCGAGGGCTCTTTATATTCATCGTCATGCAGTTGCTTTTACTTCTCTTGTAAACACTCAAACAACTTTGCCGGTTATATTGCTGAACGAAGTCGATCACTAGTCAAATTGGTTCGTACTTGGCAATAACAATCGACGACAACTAGGAAAGATACACTAATCCACATGTTTGCCGACGCTGCATCAAACTAAAAATATTAAGTTAGTGAATTCCACCAATATTCAGAACATTCATCCTTGAGACGAATGAACGGCGCTAAAAGACGTACAACCTAACGATACTTCTCTCAGTATGGTGTAGGAGACAGTTATTAATGATGAAAGTGGTGTAAAGCTAACTCATCATAACATGTATCAACACAACACAGTGCGAGCGGAATTCACAGACAGCGCCTAATTAAAATTAGGACATGCTGGTTTTTCATTAATTTTTACGTTTGCCGCCATAGAATACAAACAAAAAAGCCAAGTGTTACTTATAAAAACTATTAAACAATGGTATATTTACCATTTTTGCTGGAGAACCTGATTAATAAGCGCCCAAAATTATAATTTCCTGATCAGTGTTAGCCTTGTAACAGCGTACCAGTCGAAGACATCGGCGCTGTGCCCATGCGTGCGTATCCTCCTCCCGGAAAACAGCCTCAATTTCGGGAAAAAATGGTCTTGGCGACATTTGAAAACAAAATAAACTCACTAAATCAAAACAAGATGCTCAAAACTTTTGAATATACTGAATTGCGCCATCAACGACAAATTAACAAACTAAAAGCTTGGAAAAAATCCTATCGAGGGACCAAAGATACATGGGTACCAGTGCCATGCTCAACACTGAAATCATAGAACTCAACGATGGACTAGTTAGTTATCGAAGTTTGAAAATTCCTCAGTCCGGCAGTGTACATCGTTGAATGATTCATTTTGTTTTGTTTCCGGATCAGAGAAAACCTACACGATAGAGGCTGTCCGTAACCTGTATAAAAGATACACTGAAGTGAATAAGTAAATCGCCTGTTTGGGTTGGGAACCGCAAATTTCAAGAGGTTTGCGGCCCTCATGGTAGTAGCCGAGGATTCTTCTCACTATTTGACCGAATGTATCTTCATGTAAACTTCATTTGAATACCCCTGAAACTCTATCTTTTGCGCTCCATGATATGGTATACCACAATGGCCTTGTAAAGCCACTGACGGAATACTTGAACATACGAATTCATGCGATCAGCGAAGTTAACTGCTCGGATGCATAAGCTTGAAATTCAGTTTGCAGAAACTTAAATAGAAACCTGAATTTCGGACCTGATGTTGGCCAGTCGGCCTACCCTCGCAATCGAAACTACGTACATATACCTTGCTATATTTTCCACGCCGAAACAAGGGCTTCGAAGGTTTCAGCACTGAAGTAAACTCACAGTCTTTTGCATCAAATGAGAGTTCAACACCAAAGTGCTGAACGCCCCTCTTCGATCTGATGCCTGAGATTAACAAAGCAATTTTTTGCAGGTTAAGTTAGCATGATTACTATTCCTTTTATGTCAGTTCTAAGAGTTGCTTAATTATCAGGCTCGCTAAATTTTGCTCAGCCTTCGTGAACAACACGTAAAGGTGTTGTTCACGAAGGCAGAGCAGCCGTCGTATATTCGCGATCTCACCCACTGTATGGGGCTCTGAAACCACTTGCTGTATGGATGGATCGATGTAGCAAGATTTGACAAGATAACCGTATTTTAAGCTCGTATTTTAAGCTCGTATTTAAGCTTGTTTCGAATCGGTCTGGGCCCTCAACAGTATTTGATTCGCGGACGCCAACACTGAACATAAGCAATGCATCGCCAAATTGAAGTACGGTAATTGTCCTTAAGTAATAACTGTGAGTGAAATCCACTAAGGGATTCTACCTTACCTCACTGTCTTGCTAGTTGACGAAGGTTTCCAAGAAAACGTTTGCCATTGTAACTACAAATAAATGTAACGCTTGATGCGTTGCTTTCAGTGCTAGTAGAAAGACAAAGCTTTCCAAGAATCGACCTCGATTCCAAGAAATTCTGCTGTCGGTTTCCGGTGACGAACGTTCCAGAACAGGGTTGTCCTAAAATGCTTTAGACTGTCAATAAACTGCCGGACTCTTCATTGTTATTTCTGACGTTGTCAGAATTCAGGTCTCCACGGCACAGTGCACCTTGGTGGAATTCATAAAGTGGTAAAATAAAGCCGAAAACAGATGACGATATGACGAGAATTGATCACCGGGAGCAAGTAAATTGGGAGGTGTCTCGGTTGTGGAGAGGAGAAAAGACAAGATCACTTCAAGGCCACCTACCAGTAGCAAATTTCAAATTACCGTAGCCTGTCAGGTAAAAAAGGGAGAAGTTCCATGCAATAAGTTGATTCTAGGTTGCCTCGAGTTCCCGATTCGTTTAATTGCTTTTTTTTTTCTGCTGTTCCCGACCCAAAAGGGAATCGTCCCTACCCTCCCCTTCCCTTCATTTTTTGCTGTGACTTCACTTATAGGTCAGATATAGGTCATCATAATTCTCTTTTAAAAAACAAAAATAGTTTCCTCGTGCTCGTTTTAGAGTATCATGATGTCTCGATCAGGGAGAAATTTCCCGATGGTAACATTCCAGGCCACATTCTACTTGGTGCAGTCATGGTCTTGCTCAGTAACTGCCGGTGAGTTTGGAAAACATTTTATTGAATTCGGTGTTCGCAAACCGCGCTCCAAGATAACGCAATTATGAAGAAAAATGTTGTTGTTTGTTTTTTGTCATTACAAGTAGAATAATTCATGCATGACTCATGCATTAGTGAAATTGCCTGACCTATGTACATATACATATTAAAGAAAGTAGAATTTCGAGCGCAGTGGAGCTCGTTTTGGTTCGTGTGAATAGACATCAACTCGACTGCTCGTCAACCTCAGAGATTTTCCGCTTTCTGTTCCTAAGTTGCGTTTAGTTTCGAGTATCAGGTAGTTTTCCGTGGCTCTTTAACATGAGTCATACATCAGCAACCCCCCCCCCCCCCCGGGGACAGATTTAAGGGAGCTCAAAGAAGGAATGGCAAACAGGAGGACAAAAAGGAGGCAAAAGCAAGAGGGACCTGTTGATAACCTGATTTTGTTCTTGTCTCCAGTAATTTTTCAGAGGAAAGGCAGGCAGGCTGTTTACTGCTTGCATATTTCCAATAAAAAGGCTCATGTCTACCAGTAGATTACTGGTAGTACTTACCATTAGCAAACAAAAAGCAGTTGATACTGTCGCTAAAATTAACAGCTCTTTACTGCCAGTGTCTTGAAGTAATCTGAAGAGAAAAGGATAACAGACTTGATTAATAATTGTAAATCTGTCGGAGAGTAGTATAAGCTAGTGTGATTCATCAAAACATGCCACACTCTACAATATCCCTGGGTTGCTATGTGCTTGAAATGAAATGTTCCACAGTAAGAGATACAATAGAGCCTTCACGTTTCCATACATTTATGGCCGAACTTGCCATAATGGCCACATCTCTACAATGACTACTTTCCTCGGTCCTTAGGGTTGCCGTTGCAGAGAGGTTCAACTATGTTACATAAGAATCTGATGTACATGTGAAATTAAAAATAAGCAAGCACCTGAACATTGGTCCAATGACCTTGGAAACCACAAAACACACTAACATCAGACCAATGAAAGAAAGCATAACTTCCACTAGCATCCACAAGGTGCTAACAAACTCATCTGATAAACAACAAAACAAACTGTCAGTGGCTCACTGAGGAGGAAACTTGGAAATAACATCCAACAAAATGTGCTTCGTGTATTTACACCATGACTACTCAAGCCAGCCACCTACACATAAATGGAAACTAACCAATCAAAATGTAAACTGAGAACAATAGACTAGTTATTTCTTTTGACCACATGTAGTAAGGGTCTGTTTGACATGTATTCATAATACTATCCACTGCTCGGCACTATATACAGTTCTTAGTGGTTCAGTCCTTGATGGTGAATTATCATAATGTTATATGATATACTGTAATAAATTATAAATTTAGCTTGTAAACTCAATTTGCAACAACTAAACCAAAACCATTGAAAAATGTAAAAGATGTAGGATCAAACTAACCAATCAACAAATGTTTCCCAAGAGGTCTACAACACTTCACACTTTGTTGTGTTTCAATTTTGTTAAGAACTATTGTTCATATTCTTCAACGTTGTTAGTTTATTTAAGAAAAAGATTGTCATCCTTTGTTCTCAAGTAACATGAAGTAGCCAGGTTCAAGTAGTCGCACTTAACTGTTTTGCAACTGAACATGTAGTAGGCAACAAGTAACGTATTTGGTACCTGAATCATTTGCATTATCATGTCCGCTGAGTATACCATACACTGCACCACTGTTCACCTTGGCTGGAGCTACATTCTTTCGTCCTGCCAGTGCAGGAAGGAGCGCAACTAACAAACCTAAGTGTACATCCTGCATGACAAGGATTCCTAACAGTGAACTGGTATAGTCACCATCTCCATTGGTGTGTTCTGTTGGCAAAAAAAGTAGAAGCACAGTGCAATTCAGATTATGACTTGGGGGAGTAGGGTTGGGATAGTGGTGAGAACGCTCACCTCCTATCAAAACTTTTGTCAACATCAGAAAGTAAAGGTCCTCTTCTCTGTCCAAAACAAGCAGCAACAATAACAAAAAAAAAATGCCAGGCTCAGATGTCTAAATTTCCAAAACTGTTATCATGTTCTGAAAAGTTAGCCAGCTGTATGATGGCAGGAAAGACAGTAATGAGTTAGAAACAAGCACTTTGACTTTCATAAGTAATGAATAACTGTAAGGTATGTACATGTTACACATGAAATTTGATGAAAATATTGCGAGAACCATGGATTTTGAAGTAACGTTCGTCACCCCTGAAAGGGCAGCCTGGTAAAATGTTGGAGATAGCCTACGATGGACTAGCATCCAAAGCTTAGCAGTGGAAGTGGCAATACTTCTGAGCACATCATGCTACAGAAAAAAAAACTGTCCTGGTGATCTACATAGGCTTCAAGACATGTTTTTTAGGCTTGCAGAAATGCTTTGCCTTTATTAATCATCCACTGGTGCATCACCTTTCGCTGAAGAATCTCCACTCTTGCTTTCAACAAACTTTGCCACAAGAGGTGTGCTTGAAAGGGAAAGACATGCTGCCACAAATGCACTCTGTTGTGGGAGGATTCCAAAACAAAAACCCCAGAAAATCCCAAATACAATCATCAGTACCATGATCAGCGAGCTGCCGCCAACTGCAACCTTCCAAACCTATGTGCAGGAAAATTAACTACAGGAGTTGACATTTGTTCACTGAGGATGGCAATACCAAATAATCATAACTTTGGAAAAAAAAAAAGTACATTTTGTGCATTCACATGTTGACAGTTGATTATAAAGTCACAAGAATCTTCCAACAGGTTTACAGCAAATCATATTAGTTTACAAAAAGTCACATTACCCGCTTTATTCTATCTGGAGAAAATTCCAAGCCAACAGCAAAAAGAATGAAGAAGACTCCAAATTCTCCAAGTGTCTCCACCTGGACAACAGTCTGTTTGAAAGAAAATTACAATTATAATAGTACACATACTACATCAGGGCTCCATTGTTTAAACAGTGGATAATGGTATCCACAAGATAAATCACTATCCAGTGGATAAGTTTTGGTAACACAAACTACACTATCCCCTGGATAGCAATTTATCTGGTAGATAGCGTTATACACCCTTTGAACGACTGGGTCCAGAGATGTAATTAAAAATATTGAGAACATTTTCTGTTCGATGGGCTTAGTGACAGTTACTTTAAATCTCCTTTGACTACTAAAAACTTTCAACATAGTTAGGACTAAACTTGTCTCACATTCAGTCTTGGTCAATAACCTGTATGTATTGCTGACTGGTGAGCAGCACTGACACAGTCAGTGACAATAAAGTGTCTTGCCCTAAAACACAACACAATGAACCCAGTCTGGGCTTGTGCCCTGATCTCTTAATCTGTAGTCACCACACTAGTCATTAGGCCCTAACTGTTCAAAGGCTGGATAACACTATCCACCAGACAAATTGCTATCCAGTAGATAAGTGTTCACAAAACAAACCACGCTATCCACTGGATAGTGATTTATCGGATGGATAGCATTATCTACCATTCGAACAACCGGATCCGGTGTCTAAGTCACTTGCATCTTAAGGAGAATATAAATTTGGATCAGACCTTAATCATATTTAATCCAGAGGGTCCCAAGAGCATTCCACTGATCACAAATGCAAACATCGTTGGTAGATGAACTAGTGTACAAATACAGGAACCCAAAAAAGACAAGACCAAAATAAAGATGATGTCCCTGATGAAATGGACATCCTCATGAGGAACTGTTGCATCTTTAGCTTTCGCCAAAACAAACTGATTGCTCTGAGAATCGACAAGAATGCTCATGTCATTTTCTCCAGCAGGCTTGGCTAATGTTGTGTTATCACTGTCACTGCCCTTGCTCTCTTCGTCCCCAGTGATCCTCACAACAGCTTCAATTGAGGCTCCTTTGGCATTTCTTGTTTTCTCAAATGCCTTCTCATCTAGCTCATCTTCAAGTTTATCTGCGGCAAATGAAATATCATCTAAAATGCCTCCAATGACTTTCTCAATGCGTGTTCCATTGTTTTGAATATCAGCATGCTTATTTGCTGACACAAATTCTTTTTCTACTTCACTGATTGCATTGAATTGGTCCTCCTGTTGCAGTGCCAGTAGTTTGAGGGCTTCCAGTCTCTGTTTTATGGCTTCCTTCATGTGTACCACTGATTTATAATCCTCCTGAAGCAGTTTTCGTAAGCCATTTAGAGAATCAAAAACTGCCCGCTCTGTCACATTTAACTCAGTCTGGAAAATAGTGATAGTTTTCTCTTGAAGGTTCGTAAGTTTTTTACGTTCTTTCGGAGTTTTTAGTAAATTTACTAACTTGTTCACCACGTTTTTCTTCACTTTAAATAGATGACTAACAGACTGACAAGTCGACGGCATCCAGCGAGTGAGGTCCCCCTTGGTGACAGCTGCAAAATTGTTCTTCGCAGCGTCAACCTCGCACAATAACAACACCATTCCAAAACGGAGCGCCAAAAAATCGATGAGATTTAGCTGCATCACGCTCGATAATTCACGCTGATCGTCCTCAGTAAGAAATCAAATTGACGTAATGGGTGCAAGAAAGCTAAGAATAGAAGCTGAAATAACATTCTTGTTGTATGTTTCAGGTTCCTAAGGAACAGGATGCAGCATTTACACAGTATAAAGTTGACAGTCAGCCGCCATTTTGATCTGTACCCAGAGTTCAATTAGCGAGGAGTCGTGACACGCAAAGGTTGCTGGGAAAATTTGTTTGAAGTTTTGGCGCGCCTGTCGGTAAAGGTTGTTTTCAAGATGGAGCCAGCATACCGCCGAGTTTTGAACCCTTTTCTCCTAAAACTACCTCCTGCTCGGACTTGATATTTCAAGAGAAATCATGAATAACGATACGCCAAGCTTTACGAAAGCTGATGAGGCGATGGATTTCTTGTTGAACCAGGGTAAATTGCCTCTGCATTGTACTTCACTTCTGCCTCTAAGCACAGTTTACATAGTTGTCTTCTAAAAACAACACCTGAGTTTTCATTGAAATGTTCTCTCTTTTATCACTTGTTTCTAGATTTATCCGGTCCGAAAGTTCGGGTAAAGGTCGAAACTTCTCTAGCAGTTGACAAGATTGAAAGTATTGCTCATAATGACGGTCTTCAGCCGGACCAAATTGAAAACTTAGTCAAGTTAGCGACCAGTGGGAAGTATGGTAAGTTTCAGCTGAATTCGTGACAAACATAAAAACCCGACACTCTATGCTTGTATTGCTTTTTAACACATTTTTAATGTTCAGCAAAAATAATGAAAATATAACGTGACTTTGTAATTATACTCACTAGAATAGTGAACAAATCTTGCATCTGATCATCTTGCCAATAATAATATTATTATTTTTATTGCCTTCAAATTTTTTGATTTATTTGCAATGTGCTAACTGTACCTGGAAAATGGTTGATCTTTGGTATGAATGTATTTTGAATGGTGGTGATCAAGATTGTTATTAGTAAATCATTTTGATTATTTTTTTCTATTTTTTTGGTTCAGCTGATAGTGTGTCTTCAAGACTCATCAAGTCCCTGATTCCTCAGGGATCAGTTCCTTCATCAGCTGTTGTGATAGCAGGCTCACGGATTTGTAATAACAGACTTTCCATCAGTATTAAGGTACTTGTATATAGAAACACTCTAGTTCATCTGAGTATAAAGACAGGCACAAAATGATGCATCAAGACAAACTATGTACTTTAATTTAGTGTAGTTTAGACAAGGTACTTAGGAATGACTTAGAGTGAAAAGGATAAAGTCAGGGTGTACATGCACATGTATTAAGACAGAATGCACATCAGTCTACAGCCAGACACAAAAGGGATGATTCATCAAAGCAAACTAACTGTTTTTGTATGTCTTTCACGATTATCTGAGTGCTTTGAAGGCCTGATAGTTGGTCTTATTATTATATTAGAGGCATAGAACAGCAGATGCATAATTTTTCTGCATGGATTATGCATCCCTAGTGGAAAATGGGCCAATTTCTCTTCTCTCTGTTGTATATCTTATCTTGTTCCTAAAAACTGGCAATAATCAGCATTGCCTTACCAAATGTTTGGACATGGTTGATTGGGAGAGCCATGGAAAGAAAGATAGTTATTTTATTTGTAATTGGGCTATTATATGTGGCATGTTATTTTGCAATATATATTTTAATTGTTCATTTGTTTTAGGGTTTGTTGATTCGATGGATATTAAATGTTTTCAACCTAATTGATGATCTAAAAGATGTGCATTCATTATATGGGATCTTTTTCCTGTTCTTGGAAAGTGATATTTTGGTGAGTTACAATAAAGTACTCATGCACTGGCAAACATAAATAAGCTTAGCAAAGGGGACAGTGAGAACACTGGCATCATGGAGGTGTTGGGTTGGAATCTCATTGAGGACTCAGAATCTTCTTAGCATTCTCTGCAACTGCTTATTAATTTAAATAAATTGTTAAACATTCCTCTCACTAATGGTATTCTGTATCAATTCTGTAATTCAAATTGTTTATTTTTTATATCTGTCAGAAGTGTTACAGACTAACATTTTACACTTTCCTGTGCAAGACTACTGGGGAATTAAATGTAATGTTTACACTGAGTGAGTGATTTTTTTAAAAATATTTTATCATTATCATTGACCTATTTTCAGTGTCCTCATATATGTCATCTTCTGTATTACTTGACAAGAAAAGAGGATGGTAAGATATAATTTTTTATTCTAAAATACATAAGTTTTATAATCAGTTTACATCAGGTTATAAAGGATGATGATTATGATCATGATCATGATAATGACATTTAAGCAGGTAACCCACCACAATGGTTTTGAGTGGGTCTTGCAAAATAATAAGTAATTGAAATCATAAAAATAATTAATAACAAAGAATCTTGAACAAAATTATTATTATTGCATGCCACACAACACAGGTAAAAGATCTTGACGTTTTATTGAAAATTGAAAATTATTATTTTTAGTGAGAAATTTCAGGATCAGGAAACTATTGGATTTACAGAGTCGGGTGGTAAGTAATTTTTGTATGCCAATGTCTTCAATCTCTATTATTAATTTCCTTCTTGAAATAAAAATACAAAGTACTGTTTGTCACAACATGCTTTGTTTTCCAGCAATGGCCCAAAAGTAGCTGTCGTTCATGTGGACCTTAACAATTTGCATTATCATGGTTTGGTATTCTTCCCATCCATTAAAAGCTGATTGCATTTTGTTTTAATGTGCACCCAGGGCATCAAACCTTACCTGACTGGCTTACTCTTTATGTACAAGATTCATTGTCCAAACCTTGTAACCATGGCAACATCAGCTTCAAACAAGGTATCTGTAGGACAATTTTTTAAAGCTGTCAGAGAGCACAGATCTCACAGAAACTATTGAGCCTGTAGATTTTATCAGTGCTCAGTATGTTTCTAGGCAACATCATGTGGTCATCAGTTTGTTATTGCCGCATGTACTAATGTGGCAACTTTCATAGTGACTCACTGTCTTTTTTTCTGATTCTTTGGTTACTTCAATAAGGATTTTCTTCTTTCAAATGTAGTCCCAACTGTTCAAATAATAAATTTCTCTTTGTTTCAATTTTGCAATTAACTAGAAAAATGGGAAATGTAACTGTCCTGACCTCTAGAATTAAACTTGAAACAGAATTAGTGAGGAACTTCTAACAAATACGACTGTACAGTGGACTGTTGACTTACCTTACAAAGTGTTAGTTGTGGGTTCAGATGAGTGATCTAATGTGAAAGCCCGTAACAACTGTATATTATTTTGTTCTTCTATGATTTTCAGTGTCATTTATGAACTCTTTTTTCAACAGAAATTATGGTTTAAGCAATTAGATAAATCTTGGAAAGAAGCAATTAAGAAAGTTCAGGTACGGTTTTCACCTAGCAGTTATTTGTTTTTAATTTAAAAGAAATGTTACACTATTATTTAGATAGCATCAAAGGCATGAAGCTGTTGGAATTTGCAGGCATTTTAGGCCTAGCTATTGTGCCACATGATGTTACTGTATTATTAGACGTAATATTGAAGCTAAATTCAATTGATTGAAAACAGATGTCTTGATCGCACAGTTGCCAATTTAGCACTGTAATAGATGCAGTATTCTTCTTTTACCACTATTACTGATTAGAAAGCTTAACATAAGTAAAATCTGGTCTTCATTGGTGACACAAGCATTAGTGTTAACACAGCTACATTCTCAGCCCCTTTTGCTCTTTCTTTTGGAACTTGTGTTTCAAAATAATTATAGTTAAAGCTAACTTTCATATGTTTCCTGCTTCTTTTCATAGAACAAATATAATCCGCAAGAACCAGTTGATAGTTTTTTTCTTTCAGTGAGGACTGCAGAAAAAGCTCCTGTAAGTGCAACTGCTAAAGTATACAATAAAATGGCGAAAACTTTGCAAAGCTACATGCAATGAGGCAATTGCAATTCCTGATCTGTGGAACAAAAAATCAACCCAGTTCAAGTGCAATATTACTTAGTAAACGTGTCTGAGGTCAATCAGCAATTTTATGAACTGAATTTGAAGTCAAGTTTTAACTTTCTAAGCGCGCATTAATAGAAAAACTACAAATTATAAAATTTTCGTCTTGTTTTTACAATGGTCTTTTCTAGGATCCACGTCATGTAGGCTTACAACTGAAAATTCATCTCACTTCCTGAGAAAAAGTTTCAGCAATTTTAATTTTGTTCTTGGAGTGACCTCTGGAAATCGCTAGTTGCCCACAAAACGTGACTATTGCGCCCTTGTGAAATGTTTTCTGAAAACGTTCAAAACTTCTTTGTGTACTTGCAGATAACAAAGAGAAGAAAGCTCGGTGGTATCAGCATACCAGCTGTGCAGACGGCAGCGATGGGAGAAACGAAAATTTCCATTGAACAGCTTTCATCTTTCAAGGATCTTCTGGAAAATATTGACAATATAGAGGTATCTATCTTTGCATAGGTAATCATACGGTTTCGAGTTCAATTTGGAATTAATTTGCACGAGTGAGTTTTTCAAAAAGCTGAAATTGCACGACCCGCTTCGGCGAGTGCAATTTCAGCTTTTTGAAAACCTCACAAGTGCTAATTAATTCCAAATTGAACGCGAAAAACCGTATGATTACTTAATAATATAAACATGGAAAAAAATTCGCGTAGAAGGAATGCCGGAAGAACTTTCTTGAAGCCATTTTTTCTCATTGGAGAAAACTTTTTTCAAGGTTTCCGCACTAAATTTTCGTCATCATTTTACCTGATATCATTGGCTTAGAAAATTTCCTATTTTCTTTCAACCAATCATAATCCAGAATTACGATGTGCAATTTGCACTGGTGTTACACTTTTTGCACTTGTGTTACACTTGAACTGCACTGCTCTCATCCAATCAGAATCGAGTAATTTTTTCATGTATATTATTAAGACGCTAACAGTAATTTGTGTTTACTGTGACATGGACGAATGAAACGTTTATATTATAACACATTTGCACGGTAGAGCATAGCCGCGTTCATACTATAGTGCAACTTGCTTCGTCGTTTGGTCGCGCGATTGCAAGAAAATTGGCGCGAGACGCTGCTTAGTGCAACGACACCGGCCATCACAAAAACAAATTCCTTACAGAGTTGCCGCGATCGTGGTAGAATGTGGGACTTGATTCTTCTTCGTGCAACACTTGCTGAAGCGATAACGTTGCAAGACATATTCATTTGGGTTTGTTACTTATATTAGACAATTTTGCTGGAAACATTGTTTAGTGTGATAGTGCTTCTAGTCATTATTGAATCATTATTGAACATGACGAATTAAGATTCAGTTAAATAAGCTTGTTATTTTCATTTGTTCTTTTTCCACAGTTTCCAAGTCAGGTCGCGTCGGTTCTTAACTCTCCGTTCCTCCAACATGTCCTGAGCTGCAACCCAGACTTTGTTATGCTGCAGAGATTAAACTTTTGGCTCAATCATTCACTGTACGAAGGTAATAACAGCAATCAAACAAAAAGCCTAAGGATTTTAATTGCAGAAAAAGTAGTGTTTCAGACAGTCGCCAAACAACACAACATCGCAGCAAGGAAAAATTAACTATAAGATTATTGGGGGATTCTTCGATTAATAACAGTATTCCATAACAAAAATCATTTGCTACTGACAAGTTGTATACGCCAACGCAACTTTGTGTTTATTTTCAGAATTTCTGTGCGGAACAACATCGGAGTCAGACTCGAGTAGCTTGATGTTGCTACAGAAGCTGAAGAACTTTGCTGGTTTCCTTCAAGTAAGTAGCTCAGTAGAAAACCAGTAGCCAGCGCGGAAAAACATGTAACTTGTGGCAAGCGGGGAGAAAAGTCCGTGGGTCAAATAATCGTTGGTCTCGCTTAATTTTGCACCAACACCTGCATGATCTGCTAAAACCTTAGCCTGTTTTCTCGCCAAACGCAAATTAGTATCGAGAATCCTGCGAAAGTTCCTCTGCCGACCTTTAGTTACTGATGAAATGTTAGGATCGGTTAGCCTTATCTACCTTATTATAGGAAATTAACGCTCGTGTTAATTAACGTATTTGAAATTAACGCGACTTAAATTAACGCGAATTGAAGGTAAATTTGCTTCTCAATAAAGAAATAAACACGAGAGAGGAGGTTAAATTTCAAAATGGGGGAAATTAACGCGTCTGCTACACCGAAAAAAGACAGAATTTGTTGAGAACAATGAGATTGCGAGATTAGTAACGATTGTGGGTAAAAAGTGGAGTTCACGCAGAACAGAGATAAATAAATAAATAAATAAATAAATAAATAAATAAATAAATATATATACATTTATATAGCGCCATTTTCCACTAATTGTCCATGGCGCTTTACAATACTTTAAAATTAAAATCCTAATTCTTTAAAAACCTAAAATCCTAAATCCTAAAAGTTAAAATCCTAAGAATTAAATACGCTATATAATACAATTAGGCTACAAATAAAAAGTAAAAACTACAAATGGTACTGATGATTGGTTTGTTCAATTTTTTTCCATACCGTACACTAACAATAATGTTATTCCTGTCTTAAGGAGTCTGTCCCAGCCGTTGAGGCTTTCTTGGTTCGATATCTATTTATCTGGAATGGACTAGACTTCAGGCCATGGATTCTTCACCTTATCACCCATCTGAGCCTGTGGCCATTTCAGCGTGAGTTGCAAACCATTAAATTAGAGAAGTTAATGAAAATTGAAAATAATTTGTTAAGAAAAGGTGTGCTTAAGTAGACTACGAGTAGTCCCTCTTTCGCTTAGTCCGTCGTGCGTGACGCGAAAGAAAACCGCGAGAAAAAAATGGCCGCGCGAAATCCTAGAGGCCCCCAGGATTTCGCGCGGCCATTTTTTTCTCGCGGTTTTCTTTCGCGTCAGGCACGACGGACTATGCGAAAGAGGGACTACTCGTAGTCTAGTGCTTGAGAAGCCAGTCTAACTTGGTTGTTGTTGTTTTTAGGTTTAAATGATTTAGTTCTGGAGCCGCTCAGAAAGCTTTTCTTTTCCTCGCCGGTTTATGTGAAGGTGAGTCAAATATTGTGGTCTTGTTTTTCAAGCCTGTCATAGCTGGCGCCATTTTCCGCGCTAGCGCCGAGTCTCTAACGTCCTGAGGGCGACCAAGCCGCGAGAAGCATGTGGAATAGAGATCTCTCGCCAGCTACGCAGGCTATTGGCCTACCTTTCCTTACTCTTGACAGTTTCATGGCGATTGTCACGAATATCGTACGATTTTATTGTTTCCATAGTGTCAAGTAATGTACTGCCTCACGGAACTGCTGAGGAACTTCCTAGCTGTCGAGTTACCACGGCAACAAGAATTACTTCAAGAGGAGCGTTCTCAAAGAGCACTTGACCTGGGCAGGTGAGATGATGAGAAGATGACGTATTTGTAGCATTGCTGTGGCGTGTGTTGTGGGTGGGGATTGTATGAAACGTGGAACACACCACAAAAACGTCCATTGTAACAGATGTCCAACAGTAGCAATTAAATGTAGACATGATGATAGATGCGAATGCAGCCATAACACTACTGGAAAAAAAGGGCCTGAAAAAATGTTTAGGCTTTGAACGGGAAAAACATAGAACTGATATGCGAGTATCGGAGTGTATTATTTTATGACCAATTCTTCGCTTGGCGTTCGCAGGAGTTCATTATTTCGAGGTTCGTTAGTTACGTGATTTTACCGTTACACGGCCGGCTTACACCTCTCCTCGCCTGCCATAAGGCTGAGTGCAGTTAATAGTAAGTAAGTATATTGCAAGAATAACTGGATCAGACAGAACCATAGGAACTGTCTGGTATTGACCCATGTGCAGTAAAAATAAATGCTTCTATCGACTGYCAAACACTATTCACTTGACTCTGAAGATGATCTCCACTCAGGTTGTCGAAACATCAGTCACCAACAACAGTTCTTTTCAGAACTACACTCAACCGGACGATCACACTATACGAACTACTGACACTCCTGGGTTCAAACCATTTACTAAATAAATACTTTCTTTTCTCTAAAATACCTGAAACTGTTTCTTTCTTTTGTGACATTTCCGATCATTTTGGCAAGTGTGTAATATTTGCTGTTTTATTCTGGTTTCAGCGTGTCGTTATTTGTTGAAGACGAAGTGGACCCTTTCGATCCGCTCAAGACCATCTATGATTTCATTCAATTTGTGGACAGGATTTGTGTTGTAGCGCTGCAGGTGAGTTCACCTTCTTCTGCAACTCTTTCATCTCCGTTTGACTTTCCCTGTAAAGTTGAGTGCCTCTTTAGCACGGAGTGAAAACGGTGTTTTCTCAAATGCGTTTATACTTAGTCCAGCTCTGGCCCTCTCTTTGTCACGCAACGCTAGGGTGAGAGGGACCCTCTCTCCCTAGCGTTGCGTGACAGAGAGAGGGCCAGAACTGGACTAGATCGTGCTGTGATGTGGACCAGCTCTGTGCTCGTTGCTTATGTTTGGAATCTACATTACCTATAACCTTATGTTAGTTTGTCTGCTTTTATTTTTATTGAAGGTCGAAGAAGACCACGCGTTATTGCAGCACTGGGTTTTGAACTTTTTTGAACTGGTGAGTTTGGTATCTGAGGTGAATTCTTAACCTCTTTTTACTATATCATCACAAATCGAACTGTAGGGTCATGAGAATAAGGATTTTGGTCGCCTCTGAAAAAAGAGTCGTCCAAAAAAGTAAGGTCCAGATTCTTCTAAGGTGAATTACGCTAAATTTATGAAGATGGCTGACTGAAATCTCGAGACAGGCAATGGTCGTTTTTATTACCTCCAACTTTCTTCTTGCAGGTGTCGACTTCTTATCAACAGTTTTCTCTGCCGTTTGTTCTGATTCCTTCCTCTGGGATCATCTACAGAATGCTGTTTTCCTGTAACTCTATGGCTGTCTCAAGATTGTGTCAAATCATTGTGAAGTAAGGGAGAGTTTTCTCTACCATGGTGCGATCTTTGATTTCAATCGATCACTGTACAGGTAGACTTACACTAACTAATATCTTCCGTGTCTCACCAAACACGCACTTATGTCCAGAAATGTACCCAGATACGAAATTCATTACAAATTTTACGAGTTTTAGTTACGGCTTTGCCAAAATTGTGGAAATTACAATTTAAACGATTTTTCGCAATCGCGCTTTGCGAAATTTACCAAAAAAAAATATTTCCCTGTTATGTTAATTACAACACATCTGCAAAGAGGCTCTGCGGATTTTACAAAATTTGCAAAACCTGCGGACTTTGTAAATTAAACGATTTTAGCGATTTTTCGGTACCGCACTTTTGCCCTTTGTTATCTAAGGTCTGGCAAAGTTAATGATAGCTGAAAAATGGGCTGAAATTGAAATGCCACCATCCACATCCAGTTCCTCTATTCTGGACGTTTTCCCCTCTCAATTACAATGTCGTGTTCTTTTTCCTGGGATGAACCCTAAGTAACTAAAACAAAGACCATGCAAATCATCCTCACCCTACCTCTGGCTTACTAAACTCCTTTATTTCCATAAAATGTAGACGATCTATTTTGATTGAATGACTGACTGAATGGCTTAAATGTTTCAGTTACAAGAAGGAGTTTGAATCTCTCAAAGCATCACAAGCCGAATCTCAGGTAATAGAAAAAAAGAAGTACAAATCGGCCCACGCTATACAATTTACGCTAAGCTGCTTGTAAGATGATTTCTGTTATTACTCTAGTTTACCCTTTATGTCTGTACTTGAAAAATGCAACGTGCATGTTAACTCCACTATTAAATGTAAAATCAACTTCCCATCGAGCTCCTGCTGGCTTGTGCCAAAATCTATCTCCGTCCCTCACTTCTTCATGAAGTAGGAAACTCTGTCCAACATATTCGAACTGTTTAAGGCAGCATCCACACCACGCCGGAGAAATTTGAGAACACAGCTCTATTTCTACGGTTAGGCCTACTGTTCACACTAATCTGTCGTGAAAACGGAGCTTTTCGAAAACGCTCTTCAAATCGGAGGAATTTGTAAACGCCGGGCGGGCTTTTCGTTCTTGTGTGGACAGAAAACATTTTTAAAACGGAGCTTTTCGAAAATGATGAAGTCGCGATTATCATTTGATTTCCCAGTCCGAGTTTTCCTCAAATACAAATTCAAAATAAACGGTGATTGTTGCGTTCTTAAATTCTTCCGGCGTAGTGTGGACGGAAAACATTTGATGAGTTTTCAGAGAGAAACCTCCATTTTCAAATTCCTCCGGGCCTAAAACAGACGAAGTAGAAATTCCGTAGCTTTTGACTGACTAAACAATATATGCATTTATTTTACACAAATCTTGTCGGCAATACACATGGCATTACACCGTAATTCCTTCCATCACAGGGAAGCCTGACAAGTCAAGTCTAATATTGTTAAAACAGCAGGTTTACACAAGTGATTGGAATCTTGTACAAGTAAAGTAAAAACACAAGTGGGTGCAGTTAAAGAACTTTCTTGGGTTTTTTTGTCAACAGAGCGCCCCATTAGGCTTCCCGGATGGATTTCAAAGCATTCAGAGATTTAACCAATACATCCTGGATATCTGCGATAGTTTATGGAGAAACAAAGCTTTTATAGACAGAGACAAATCGTTTTGTTTTAGCATGCCAAGGTAAGTGAGAATGCTCAACATCGAAACTTTCGTATTACTTTTAATAAATTTAAAACGCTTTAAGCAAGGTTCCTACAGGAAAATAGACTATCGGAATAAATAGCCACACTACACATCGACACGGTTTGGCCAGAACCTGTAGTCATGCACTTACGTGGCGTATTTTCACTGTACTGTACTTGATCGCGCTGAAAATTCCTTTTTGTATGCCGTTATGTTTCCCCAAAATGCCGAGATTCTTCTTTTCAATCATTCTATTTAAACATTAGCTATGTGGATGTCGTGTTGATGCACATTACGAAGTTCTCAGAACTAAAACGTAAAGAGAATAATTATCTCAGCTTGAGCCAAAAAAACACCCGCTCAAGACACTTTTGAGAGACTAGGCTCAGTGTCCAGCCGTGGGTGTTTCAGTGCTGAGAGACTGGACCCCAAATTTTTATACAGATGTCTATACAATCTCTCCAATTGGTTGTTACTTATGCGCGAAAATTCAAACTGACCAATCCGTGAACACTTCACTGATCTTTGCAGGTCACTTTATCGGTACTGGTGAAATTTTTAGGCTCCAGTCTCGGTTGTCACTCGCCAGGGAGGAATTGGACGCGCCAAAAAAGAAAAACAAACAAACAGACAAACACGATGGTGGTTTTATTTTTAATAATTTAATTGACCCTAAGTGTTCATGTAGCAGGTAATGAATGGTATTTTTTTTTATCCCTTTAGCTCGGTAACAGACCCGCTCTCTGTACGCCATATGAATGAGTTGTTCTCAATCCACCATCATATATCTTTGGTCGGGGAGGCCTGGAAATTTCTTCATCAGGTTAGACAAACATGGGATAATGAAAAATGAAATCTATAGCAACAGATGTCAACGTGAAACTGACGTACTTGCCACCCTCTCTTCCCTTCTTAAAGAAAAAATCACAGTGGACAGTGTATTGTAGCGGTATAATCAGTGTGTATTCAGTGTGCTAAATATGTAGCAAGTTGTCGAATTTAATGTTGATTCCGTAAACTGTCGTTTATAAGCCCTGGGCTTATATAACTTCGTACGGAGTTTTAGATGGGCTTAGAAACGAAGGTGCTGATATCCTGGGAGGGGGTGGGCTTATAAGCGGAATAAAAAAACCGTTTCGATCGAAATGCGTTTTTGATCTACTGGTTTTTAATTAATCTTTAAAATGTAATAACTCGAGTTCATTTCACTTTAGACTAGAGAGGGGGTAGGCTTATAATCGGAAGTGTTATTTTGTTTACAAGTAGATGGGCTTGTAACCGGAGAGGGCTTATAAGCTGCGGTTTACGATATTTGTTTTCATTTTCCTTCTACTAACGTTTATTTTTTTCATAGACTCAACCTGCCGGGATGAAACTCACGCCAAGTTTAATTAAGGTTAACTACATGCTTGTCAGTATTTGCTAAAGTTCCAGTTCCAATCAGATTGTTTGTTCAATTTTTGTTTGAATTTTTAACTTTCGTTTTCTTGTGACCTGTTTGCAGGGTCGCTCAAGACGAGCTTACATGGAGTACCTAAAACAAAGAAATTTTGGTGGAATTCTTGTGTTCTTGGAAACTTTCATCAGACCACGCTCGTGAAACCGAGCTAAGATCGTCATGGCTCGTAAGGACCGATTATATATAAGATGCTATAAGAGGATTGTAACATCGCACTGACTCGAAGTAATCAGACAGGAAAAGATTCAATCACAGTTCTCCCTGCAACAGTTTCACAACCTCTGTAAAGGCCAAATCAAATAAGAAGCAGAGAGGGTGGACGGGAATTGTAAGAATTTCCCGTTCAACGCTCGGACCATCATTAGCGGGCCAAAAACGGTTGAAAGCACGCGAGATGTGGAAATATTCGGGCAGGAAAATCAGTGTTCCAATTAAGTAAGGGGTCTCAGGTCAAATATCCGACAAGGTCAGCAACATGACCCGACAAACTAATAGAAAATTTATGGTGATTTGGTGGGAGCATTGGAAATTGACCCGTTGGAATTCCTCATTGCCACCATACCTCGAAAACTTATCTGGAACCCTGAAAATAGGATCATTTATCACGAGAGTGTCCAAAACTCCCATCTAGTGTTGATAACGATGTACAGCAAAACAAGCGCGGTAACTCTTTTCGCGTATTCCCGTAAGGGAAAGAGCAGGTTTAAGTTTGATACGTGATCAAAAAATAGCGAAGTTGCCGAGTCACGTCCGTCATCTTCAGTTGAATCCAGAGGCGCTCCTGAAATAGTAGCCGTTACAACCCTTTAATTCGCCAGTTAGGCTTAACGTCACCTTTTACATTTTGCAGTCAGAGAGTCTCTCGTTAAATTAACAAATATTTTAACTAGAAAGAACTAATGTATCAAGTGAGCCGGGCCCAGTCCACACCACGCCGGAGAAATTTGAAAACGCAGCATCATTTCTACGGTTAGGCCTACCGCCCACACTAATCCGTCACGAAAAACTTGCCTTCATCTCTCCCGAAATGAACATTTCTGGCTGCTTTGTAAGTTTTTATTTTGAAATCTTTTTCCCCGATTACAAGATTTTCTTACCTTGAAAATACGACGTACGACAGCGTGATAAAGAAATAATGTGTTAGTTTTGTTTACTAACTGACTAAAATCCATGATACCGGGAAGAAGACATTTTAAATGAAAAAAACTTAAACACACTAAAGTTCGTCTCTCTCGTAATGCAACACGTGAAACTGCTTCAGGATGTTTCTTCGTCTCTCAAGTTCGTCGGCCTTGTTCGCGTGCAGTGGGCCGGCGATCAAACGTTCTAACCGGTCAATTTCATCCTTAATTATTCCAGCACCATACGACATCACGCGTGCCATGACAGTGAAGTAAAAATTAGCCTCGGTCTGGAACTCATGACGGAGGGCTTTGAGTTTCGCTTCTCTCATGATCTCTGTTCGCCTGTGGTAATCCTTCATGAACTGCACGGCTAGCTCGTTGAAGTCGTCAAGAAGGCCAGCCTATGAGAAAAACGCAAATTCATGTAACTCAAAGGGTAAAGTAAATAGTAAATTGCAACATTTAGAGAGGTCACATCAGCCTTAGTTGGTTTTCATGCGGGTCCTTAGTCTATCCTGATCAAATTGGAATTTGGAGATGTTGGTTTTTATGAAGGGAGGAAAACCAGACAACACGGAGAATAACCCTCGGAGCAAGGCGAGAACCAACAACAAACTCAATCCACATATGTCACCGGGCCGAAATCGAACCATACATTGGTGGGAGGCGAACTCTTTCACAACTGCGCTATCCCTGCAGGAGCAGGTTTTTCCTACTTGTTCAATGCTTCATTTTGATGGCGTCTCCTCCCATTATTCAGAGCTTTCATGAAATTTTAAATCGCCTCCATAGGTTTGAAGAGCACGCTTAATCAAACTTAAAGTATTTTTTCGATGATTTTCAAACGCTTTTAAAAGGTGGGAAATGATGAGGAAAGTGGGTACCCGGGCCAAAAACTCTTGGATGGGGTTAGTCTATGAGGTAGTGAGTGAGTAAACTTCCTTCGATGATTTTCGTATTTCCAACTTAACCGCCCCCGATCATCAACAACATTCAGATTCCAAAGTGACTTTTTAGTGGAACTCTAGAATATTATCTGAAGATAAGACACCCGCTTTCCTTGTAGTTGGAAAGAAAATCTTCCTTCTTTTCTTGTCGAATGAGAGCCTCTTTCAATTTTGATCGATGTAATTTGTTTAGGGGTGGACAAATTGACTTTTGAGGGACGGGTGGGTGATTTTGAAAACATTATCCTGCAAGCATTTTTGTACCAAAAAATAATTCATGCACATGACCACTGCCGAAAAAAATTCACGCACGTTCAGTGAGTCGAAACAAATGCATGTTACGTGGAGAATAAAAATATCATGCATTTAAACGTCCCGAAAAAAATTTCTAGTTCATAAAAGGTTTTAACAAAAATTCTTGCTTGTACCAGCACATCACCCACACAATCCCTCGAAAGTCTAATGATCCAGCCCTGAGATACGTGAAAACTGCATGCTGTATCATGGTCTTAGCGCCAGATTCCTTGACTGCGGAGAACAGGTTTGACAAGAGGGCAATTTCGAAGGTATCGGAACTCACCTTTTCGTTAAGTCGTCCTCGCATCTCTCTTTGTGTCCCACAGAGCGCGTTCATAAACGTGGTCATATTTCTCTCGCTGTAGCTTTCCTGGTAAGCGCCTGGCTCGTACACCACGCCATCTTTATTGTGTTGAGAATACACTTTAAATGTGGGATAATGGGGAATGGTTTGCGCAATGCAGATCTGTGGCTCTGTGTCGCAGTTGAGCCGACCAATAAGGCAGGTTGGCTCGTTTCTGAATGTGATTCCAACATCGTGAATTGTGTTTTGTAAACTGTTACAAAGATCGCAGTTTCCGTTATAGTACATAACCATGATGCTTCGCGTTCTGTCCTTGACGATGCGTTCAAAGTTGGACGAGCTTAAGTCGATGACTGGAGTCATGAAGATATCCGTGTTCAGATGGAGAAAGGATTTCGATTGGATAAAACGGATCATGTCGTCAGCAAGGTGACCGCTCCTGTAACTGGAAAATGTAATTGTAGGGTTAACACAACACGATGAATAAATTTTTGCTTCCCGACTTAAAGATTTCGAGAGAACATTGCACTAAACACAGGAATGATTGGGCAGCCGCCTGGAATAGTTTATCTAAAGTAAAAGTGACTCCGAATTTTTTTTTAACAAAATTTTTTGAAGTTTTATTTGTAGGTACGGATAATAGATAAATCGTGGGAATAGAGGACATCAAAGTCCTGTTGCACAACCATTCATGCCAACGATAATCATTTGTTGACTTCAGTGGTTGATCATAAGCCATAACTGATATAGATTCATTGCATTATATTAAAAAATATATAATGATAGGTTGACAAGTTACAATGAGGGGTTGGGAGTAATTTTTGTTCTTTCATGGCTATTTTTTCTTGGAAAAATGTTTGGTTTTCTTTATAATAAATAAGATCATGTAATTATAATGAGTGTAACGAAAGAGGAATCCTGACCGATTTCCAGAATGTAAAATGTTCCATCGCGTGCGCCCAAACAGCTCTTCTCTGAATTCAAGTTTTCAGAGTAAAAGCAAGGTTTTCAGTTATTAAATCGACGTACTATAGCAAACGTATACCTGAATTGACTTTCTTCACAGCACTAATAAAACAAAGCTTTCTACTTACGTCTCTTCTGTTACGCTTCCTTTAATAAAATATCGGTAGGATGGATATTCATCGATCCAAAAGCGCGTAGCCAGCTTGATTTCTTCATACGCGTTCACCTTGGCAATCACCACATCATCTCGATCAGCAAACGCTTTGCCCACTTCTTCAAGGCGATCCAGAATTGTCTGACATTGGTCGTGCCATGGGGCGTAGAAAAATACAAACGCAAACCTTTCGCCGTCAACGTATTGGTCAAAATTAATCAGAGTAAGTTCCTTGACTTTAGATTTGTGCAGCGCCGTAATAGAGGCAAAGTTTAAAACGACGATCGCGAAAAAACATCGGACGTGCATTTTCCCTGCCAGAAAGATTTTCTGTTGATAGTGCGCTGTAATAATGGTTAGAAAGTTTTGTGCAGTTTGGAAACGCTAAACAAAGCAGCTGTTACTTTTTTTCTTTCGTAGACTATTAAACTGCGTCGATGTAACAAAGTATCGGAAGGTTTGGAATCCCCAGCAGGTATCGGGTTCAACTAAGACAAAGTTCTTTACAAAATTATCAGTACTTGGTTTTGTCAAAGGTTTTGTGATTCCTTCAGATTACGTGTTACTCTTAGAAAGGGAATTAACTGTCCACTAAGAATTACACATGTGTAATTGAAAACCTATTACAAATTCATTAGAATGTCGTGAACTCTAAATAACAGCTAATTAAACACGCGAATTCGGACACGTCATATTTTAACTTTCGAACCTTTTAAATAACTGACGGAAAACTCCAGAACTTTCTTCGTAAAATTGTTGTAGAGCAATGAAATGAATTTCGATTTCCAAGCTCGACTCGTAACTATTACTTGTAACTGGCATACATTTCTTTCAGTGTTAAGGTCAGAAATCAAGACCATATCCTGATTACTTTCTAAATTCTTGTAAAATCCCGATTGGCAATGTATCATATAAAATTATCATTATCGTAAGGACAAATCGGCTTTTGGATCACTTACCCGACCAAATAGCTGATGTGAACCGAGGTAAAACAAAAAAGAGAGTAGTCTAATTTCACTTTATTTTGCAGTATTGTATATCCTCAAGGTATTCAAAACAGAACTGAACTCAAATGAATATTTTTGTCCTCGCAAATTATGAACGCTAAAACGCTGAACTCATAAACATTCATTATTTCTCCAGCTGTGTTGATACAATGCCTTACAGCGTTCCTGAATTGACTCATGAATTTCAAATTTCAAATTTAATCAGTGTTCGTCGTGATGAAGAAATTCTACGAAAGCAGCCTTAGAATCAAAGCTTTTTCCGGTTAATTCAGTGGATCCAAAGTTTGCGATGTACCAGTCACCTACCACCAACCAGCCAAACCAGCTAAACGGGTACAGTGCTGTTCCAGTCTATCCGGTTTATGGTGAGGTTCCAGTGGATGTATGCTGCCCTTACTGTCAGACCAGAGTGTTCACTATAACCACGAAGGAAGATGGCAACTTGACGTACTTTTCAGCGAGTCTACTGTGTTTTATGGGGTAAGAGAGTTCAAGAAATATTGCTTCAAGAAATAGCCAGTTAACAAAGAGTTACACGGTAACGAGGTGTACTTTAAATCCAGTTCCAGGAATTAGTTAATTAACAACGCTTCAGAACCGTGAAATAATTATTACTGGACAAGAAATGAACGGTTCAATTCGCAAATAAATGCTCTTTTCTTTTCTTGAGTTCTGAGTTGCTTTCTCAGGCTTTCTTTTACTTGGGATCACAAGGTTATCCCAAAGGTTTTGGAACACGGGGAAATTTTGTTTCAATATGTAGAGGTTATTGAACAAGCGTGAGGTGAAGATAGCTGGATACCAAGTATTTTTTTTTTTTGCGTGTTTAAGTTATGGACCGAGACGGAGTCTCAGTCCATATACACGCAAAAACAGAACGAGGCCAATATCCAGCCATCTTGACCGAACAAGCTTAGTTAATACAGGGTTTTGTTGTATGGAACTGAGAACACTATTGTTTTGCGGGACACAGCGAGTAATCCCGAGCGGGTAAGATAGTGCCATCTTGTCTGCTTGGGTACCCAATTACAGCGCCAGGATTCAGGTCGTCTTGCCAGCTCATGGAGCTCGCCATATAATACGTATGCTTAACAAATTGGCTTAATTTATTTGTTTTAGTTGTGTCAAACTGTAAAAGTCGTTTATTTTTCTTTAACTCCACATGTTTTACTTTTTTTCGTCAGGTGTTGGTTGGGATGCTGTCTAATTCCTTTCTGCATTGATTCATGTAAGGATGTCATTCACACATGCCCGAACTGCAGAGCACCGGTCGGCAAATTCAACAGGCTCTGTTGACAGACGCAAGAATGCGAGCTTAGACATCAGCGACAAATAAATCAGACCCCAACCGCCCCAAAAATGCATGATGTAAAACAGATCTGAGCATGGTGCTCATGTGCAGTACATTGAAGTTATCTCATTTTGTAGTTCCAGAAAATGTCCATACCTCCTGCACGATAGGGATTTTTATCTTAAAAAAAAGACCCACCCCTCTGGAAATTCCAATTAAGCTTCATACATTTCTTTAAACTGTTTTGGTCTCACACAACCCCCACCCCCAGGAAATTCCAATCCCATTTGTGGTGGTTGGGGGGTAGGGGAGGGAGTTTGAATGTTTTCTGGAACTGCACACTTGTCTCTTTAGACAGACAAATCAGTGCAAATAAAAAAAATCACCCAGTTGGAAAAATTGTATTGATGTAAACCTCAATTCTTAGTATTAACAATGAAAGATATGTATGGTTATCTGTAAAGAAAATTTAGATTCTGAGTTTGGAACTGAAAAGGCAAGTTTCAAAACAAAATGAGATGTTTTTGCTCCTGGAGCAAGTTTATTCTCTAATGGTTACATTTCATGTAGCACATTTCTTAGATAATCAACGAGGACTTAGCTTGACTTTTTAAAATCTGAGACAAGTAACACATACATAAAAAAGATTTCCAGAAATATACAGTCAAGTTACAATAAATATATTATTATATCTTACCAAGCCTTTCCTAATCAGTCAGAAAACAAGTGTCTCATTTGGAACCAAAGTGTTGCCAAACCTTAAGCTCTTTACAAAACTGTCATGTCAGCAGATGAGTCGTGTTGCTTAGCAACAAAGTCGATACTGTGGACTCAGACAATTATCGGACACCTCAGGGATTGGTGCTTAGTATTGACTTCCTTGATGTGTCATATCATTTCTCAAAGAATCTCAACTAAAAACATCATCATGGTCAAGATAAGTGTCTGATGCGTTAACAGGGAGACCTTTCTTCAGTTTTGCTTTGGTCTTTGCTTTCTCTTGTTCTTCTTTAGCCAACTGTTCATCCCTCTGTGCTTCAAGGATTTCAGCCACTGATACTTCTTGAAGTTCACATTTTGCTTCTTTTTCTTCATCCTTTTACAATATCAGAAAGACACAAAAACACAGTTAATTTTTTCTGTGACTGTCATGTCATCCCCTACAATAGGTCATATTCGTGTTCTTGGTATTGGACTGGAGCCAGCCTGCAATGGAGGCTCATGCATGTAAATATCATTAAAAAGAGATTCATGTCATTTGCATTTGAAAAGACTGCCCATGTTAGCCTCGGTTGAAACCTTAGTTCCATTCCAATACCGAGAATATGAATACAGCTTATTGCCACTGATTTTGCTTACTTCAAGCTAGTTTAATTTTACGACAGCCACAAGAAAACTGCTTCAGTAGAACATAAAAGGATGATATACAGTTATACCTTTGGTTTTGCGGAATCTCCCGCCGTGGCTGGTTCAACAAACACTTAGGACTGTATCTGTCGTTTTCTCCACTTTATTGCAGCTTCTTTCGTACATTCGTTCTGATCAATCTTATCGCTCTAATCGTTCTGACTTAAAATTACAATATTCACTACATTTTATTATCACTYACGTAAAAGCCTTGGCTACGTATGTCCGGCCGCAAACCTAAGTTGGCTAAGGCTCACTATTGTTTCTCTGCGGTCTTTTCTAATCTCCTAACGCGTAACGCTTGTGGTTGATACGAATTTCCTTAGCGTGGGCTACAATTATTCTTTGATAATTACCGAGTATAATCCGATTACACTGATCCTAAAACCACTAACAATTGATTGCTTTAAGCTGAGTCATATCTATTTAATATTCGTCACAGGATGTGGCTATAACACCCAACGCAAATTTCTGCTCGCGAAGCAATATAATTACTAAAAACGTGCTTGAACTTAAACAAACAAATCTTCTAAATATTGTACTAAAACTTGTTATGACATTTGGGTCATACTTGAAACCAACAAAGACCAGAGTACTAGTTAGCAACTTGCTCTTTGGCTGTGCTGCATATATGATACATAGGTCAGCCTGCTTGATAGACTAGATGATGTATTATTTTTAGCCTCCAACTTGAATAACCTGGTATTTTTTCATAACTGTTTATAGTTCTTTGAATCCTATGGTTAGTGTGATTGCTTCTGTTTTTACAAAGTCATCACTCATGGACATCACTCTAATCTTCACTATGAATCACTTACTATTTCACCAACAAGGACCATATTTTCTCCTCTGACAAGAAAAATTCCTCTGGGAATGTCTCCATACTTTCCTCCAACATGAATTCTTTCAATAGTGTCTTGAAGCAAAAGATTGGCTGGAACAAAAATAGTGGTTAGTTTCGCCACCATACTGTTATACAGAAATATGGCAGATGCATAAAAAATAGTAGGAGTGTGAGACAGAGTGACACGATGGTAAAGTGTTGGTCAAAACATTGGTAGACTGTGCATGTGTCAGTAGTGTATCAGCCAACATGTTGGGCAACACGGTGGTATAGGATTCTTTACCTTTACCAATAACTTCATAAGGTGTAAATCTTTGATCATCCCCCCCCTTCCCGCAAAAAAAATATCGCGTCCTTCGCTAATGCTCTTTTTGATAGTCCAACGTTCTTCCTTACTGGAGGCTAACAGAAAGGCCTAATTAACTTCTAGACGAGCTNCCCCCCCCTTCCCGCAAAAAAAAAAGAAAAAAAAAGTTCTTTGTCTTATACTACCTAAACTAAAATCTACTTCTACTAAGTTAATTACAGTTAATTTACAGTGTACTTTAAACAAAGGAAAAAATGTCATTCCAAATTAACTATATTTACAAGGCGACCTAGACTAAAAACTAACTTGACTTGAACTGGACTTTTTATGGTAGTGAACCTGTGTCTGCACAAATCAAAGGTTGTGTGATCCAAGGTGCTTATAAGCACCAGGACTATGTTGAAGGACCTTCAGTATAGGTTTCAAAACCCAGGTTAACACTCAGTTATTTATCAACTTGAAGTTGACAAAAATGAATTAACCACCATAGCGAGTTATTGAAGCTGAAGTTGCGAGTGTTAGCCCTTCATCAAAGCAAAGTGCCTAAATCTGCATGTTATCTGACAGGTTGTCTTAATACAAAAATGTCAGGTTTGATAAATCTTCAGCAACTCATGTCATTACTTCACAGCTCAGCTTATTGTGCAGATTCAGAAAATATCCATACTTCTCCCACTGGAGGGAGTGGAATTTCCTGGGGGGTGAAGGGTGGGGGTTCTCTAAGGACAAAAAATTAAGAAAAGTATGAAGGTTGATAGGAATTTCCAGAGGGGAGGGGGAGGCCCTTAGAAAAAATCCCTTTTGTGGGGTACTGTAGGTATAGATATTTTCTGGAATTGCACATTGGGTTGAAGAGGGAAAAGTAGAAACCTCCAGCTAGGACCAACCTATGGCATAGGATCATCATGCACAGCAGTTTCACATCTTACCCTTGAGAGTTTGAAAACTTTAGCATTGACTCTAATATTGGATTAAAATGGATGTATCCTAGGTTGTTATTATGTTGCTTAAGAAAACATTGCCAGTTTGCCACACTTACCAAATTGATCGATAGATCTCAGATATCCAATCAGTGTTCTTCCATCTCGAAGGACAACCATTAGTCTCTCTGGCAATTTTCAAAGTAAAGAGTGTTACATATAACATATACTGGTATATTAGTATTTCAAAAAATATATATTTTGGAACTATTGTGTAAATTGCCTTTGATGAAACAAAATGGCAAAGTTCTATACTAACTACTGGAACGGAAACAATCATAACGCTGGTCAATTGTTATCATAAACTACCAAAAAATGTCATCTCAGACCTAACCAACATGAACAGCAGTTGAAAACAACGTAAGCTATTATTGAAAACTTGCCAAGAAATTCTTGAACCGACGAATTCAGCGCAACGTATCAAATTTTCCGAGAAAAACAACAAGGTTCCAAATAAAATTGAGGAAAAGAACATAAAACTTACTATCTATCTCCTTGACGAGACTTGCAGTCCCGGGAAGAAAGCTCATTGTGGAAATTTATTGAAGACTTTCGCATGCAAAGTGAAATAATTTCCGAGTCTTCCTCTTCATAATCAAAATTTGTCAGGCGTATCAGAAACTCTCGGATCGCGGAAGACCTGGTAATGATAAGATTTTATACTCCATATATGGAAATCAATCACGTGTACATCTTTCGGTTTACGTGAACAAACGCGTGATGAAAGCGTGACGTGAGACACGTGAAAACTGATCCGACAATGTTGTCATTTCCCACACTGCGATCAAAATACAAAATACACCGTTGCATCTTCCGTTGTTCAAAGACCACCTGGGCAAAGTTCATAAGTAGTTACGATTTATCCATCCTGCACGTTTCGTTTCAAGATAGTTGCTATCCAAGCAAGAAGGACGACGCTTTGCTCCCAAAATGACTAGTAAACACAGAAAGAAGACGAGTTTTTCGCTGTCTTTTTCGGTGTTTGAAGAGCCGCTACAATTCGCCGTCGTTTTGCTTATGACGGTGTTGTTCATCTTCGGGCACACTATTGGAATCCTCCTCTCAATTTATGTGTTTCTAACGCCTGTCTATAGCTTCATCGTCATTTATTTGGTGTGGACTTATTGTTTTGATCTGAAGACGCCAGCGAAAGGAGGAAGAAGGTCCGAGACGTTTCGAAAACTGAAGAGCTGGGAGTATTTTCGTGATTATTTCCCAGCAAGACTTATAAAGACTAAGCGTCTAGACCCAAAAAGAAACTATATCCTGGGATACCATCCGCATGGAATTATGTGTGCTGGAGCTTGGGTTAACTTTGCGACTGAGGCTACTGGATTCAGCAATCTTTTTCCTGGCATAAAGTCGCATCTTCTCACTCTAACATGTAAGCACAAAATTTTCGTTTGGTTTTGGAAATTGTGCTAACAATATTAAGGTTACTCTTACATGTAAGCATATATTTCAAGAGTTTTATTTGTATCTATGCAGCGTAATACAAGTGAACTTGTCTTATGCTGTAGACTCCAAAAAACTGCAAAAATAAGTTTACTGGAGTTGTAATTTGATGGATGATTGCCTTTGTGTGTCCTTCTTTTTGGAATGTTAGAAAAAAATTCCCCGTCACTTATTTTAGGCTTTCCTGATCATGTCCTAAACAGGATAAACTTGATACATTGTTTGTTTATTTTAGAGCTTCAGTTACATACATAACCTTTCATCTATCTTGTTGTTTCGCCAACTCCCAACGTTTGATATATTTTTCTCCAAGGGAATAGCTAAATGGTGTACTACGGTGTAGCTGGTAAAGAAGTCCTCTCCAATGAACTTTGTATGATGAGCGCTGAAGCATGAATGGCTTCAAGAGGTTTCACATTATTTGTTTGACCCCCGACTGGGTACAACATGGGTGTTCATTGAGCTTAAGCAGACAAATATCACATTTCAAGGCTATAGACATGAAAAGTTCTAAAATTTTATTCTATCATGTAAATTTCAGTGATGTTTAAATTTCCATTTTGGCGAGACTTTGTAATGGCTGGAGGTGTATGCGATGTATCAAAAGAGAGCATTCGCCACATAGTTACAAAGAAGGGAACTGGTAACGCAGCAGTGATTGCAATTGGTGGAGCAGCAGAATCTCTTGATGCTCGGCCAGGTTCTTATACTTTGACCCTGAAAAACCGGAAAGGATTTGTTAGGATGGCTTTACAAACAGGGTAAGAATATTGAATAAACATTTCCTTAAACCTTAATACCTATACATCCTCCTGGCATGTCACTATTTCATAGCTTTGGGCAGAGATCATGGGATTTATGCTGAAGCCATATTGTCAAAGCAGAACTTCAGACATTAAATCTAATCTTGTTAACAGTGCAGGTCATTGGAAAGAGGTCAAACAGGAAAAAAAAAGAGAGATCTATTTCAGACTTGAGCCTGCCACCTTTGAGCCTAACTATAAATAATGATGATGGAATAGTCTAAACCTGTAATACTTGAAATCATTAACAAGGAGAGTCGTGGGGGAAGGGTGGGGACGGAGAGTGAGGGGGTCATGATGTTGTGCATGTGAAGTTGAGATGTAATTTATCCCAGCATTAGTAGTTTTTATCACTTCAGACATGCATCTCTTGGCACTTCATTTGTCCTTGATTTCACCTACTGCTTAACCCTCCTGTTGGCCCTTTCTGCAATAAGGAACATTTTTCTTTTGTTTTCTTTTCAGAGCATATCTTGTTCCAGTATTTTCATTTGGTGAAAATGAACTATTTAATCAAGTCAGTAATCCAAGAGGCTCAAGACTGAGAGCATTTCAAAACAAGTTGATGAAAATCTTGTCATTTGCTCCTCCACTGTTCTTTGGAAGAGGAATCTTACCCAAGATAATTGGTATTGTACCCTACAGGAGACCAGTATGCACTGTAGGTATGTACAAGTAGTAAAATGAGGATACTTTAGACATAACATAGTGTATATTGAAGGGAATTACACATACATGTTTGGTATTAATTCTGCCCAGGTCACTTTACTGGAGATGCTGCACCTCAAGTAAAGTGATTGGGCAGAATTAATATCATATGTGTAACCCCAGCATACAGTTTTAATCCTAGGAATTGCAAGAGTGTGAAAGTTCATGAGTTTCTGCAGAATTGTAGGAGCTTGTAGTTCTTACAATCTGCCTGAGACTGTTCTGTTGAAGATGAAAACTGTCACAAGATTTTTCATTGTTTTAAAACCCTTCTGTGATGGTCAGCTTCAGAAATGTCAAATGTTCAAAGTTGTATAGAATTTTTATATCATGCAAGCAGTGCAACCTACAAGTGTTACCTCTGACAAATTCAAACCATCTAATTCCGGTCTAACCATTAGCCAGAAGTAAGGAGCCTTCCATCTTTATAACCCAGCTGAACTCTTGGCCACGAGTCCTGTAATCTTCGTACCCCAATGCACTCCCACTTTTCAACAACTTTTTTAATTTGGATTTTCTTTTGTCTGTAGTTGGTGCTCCAATCCCAGTAAAGAGAGCTGTTGCAAATCCAAGTCCTCAACAAGTAAACAGACTTCACAAGAAATACGTACAAGGGCTTATTAACCTCTTCGATGAACAGAAACACAGATATGGTCTGCCAAGGAGCGTTAAACTGAGAATTGTGTAATAGACATTAATTATTCAGCTTGAATACCGTCCATAAATAAAAAGAAAAAAATTTCTTCTAAACAGTGTAAAACAAATGGCAATCGTTGTGCAACCTGTAAAACATATTGCACTGCATGCATTCTATTCAAATAATTATTATTTGGACCGAAAACGACACCATACTTGTGGTGTGGATGGCCAGTTCACATCTGGCATTAGCTGGTTGAAAAAAGCGTCCAGCAGCAGCCCTGCAAGGGCAAGTCAAAAGTCAATTTAAGAAAAGATTTTTATAAAGTTAGTCAGCCTGGCTACAATGGTCGGTACGACCTGACCCAATGAATGTCTCAAATTTTAGTGTCCACGATCTTAAATTGAATTGTATCAAGATTTTTAATGTGGCTTGCAAAAATATGAAATGGTTAACGCCACAGATTTATCCAAGCCACAACAGAGGATGAGTGGAGGGAACTAAGCGTAATATATTACAATTTAGCATTTGCTAATAATTTATTCGTTATGGATTGACAAAGAATTTATTGAAGAGATTCAAGTATTTCAAGATTATTTTAAAAAGAGTGACCATATAAATTAGATTTATTAAACCAATGTTTTGTTACAACAAGTTATATTTTGTAATTTAAATTATTTATTTGCAAAGAGAATATTAAAATCTCAATTTTCTACAGCTGGTGTGGTTGATAATTTGAATACTCAAAATTCAAACAAGCTTTCCTTACCAGTAGAAGTTTGTAGAAGTGTTCACCAGTGAGATTTCTTTACGGTGCGACTTCTCGAATCTCGAACCGGGCCACTTCGAAATGAGTAAACCAATCAGAGCGTTAATTAAGAACAAAGGCTAGCGATCTTTTCCTCAAATAAACCAATAACATTGAAGAATCGTAAAAAAATTGAAAACCCAGCGAAGTGCGAGGAGTTGCGAACTCAGGAAACTTTGCCATTTGTTGATTGGTTAGTTTCGATCCTAAATTTTGTACTCTTTTCAACTGTTTCGATTTAGTTGTCGCAAAATGAGTTTTCAGCTAAATTTTCCGAGCAAGATTTATAATTACAATAATTCGCCGTCAAGGACTGAATCTATAAGAGTGTATAGAGCGCAGAGGAGTCGATAGTGTTTATATTTTCGCGTCAAACAGACCGTTACTTGCCGTCACCAGAAACTACCAGTCCATTGTTCTCAGTTTACGTTTTGATTGCTCAATTTTCTTTTAGGTGGCCCGATTGGAGTAGTCGTACATACAGGGTAACCATTGAACGACTATAAAACAGCACAAGGAAAATTTGATCGGAGAGGCTCCAGTCCAGCGCAGAGTCTTGCTTGTTGAAATTTTGGGCGTCCATCTCTACGTATCTTTGGTAACCCGATTGTGTGACGGCTACGAATATAACACGTGTTCTGAAACATGACACAAACCGGAAGAGGACAGTCTGCAGCATTTGGCACGATTATGTTCTTTGAACTCTGAACAGGCTAGTATTTTGAAACGTGCTCGCTAAAAGTATCAGTACAGCAGCAGAAAACTGCTAGTCTCGCAGAACGAAATGCCTCTTGTAGAGTTTGCACCGCTTCGCATCCCTCTTCACCGTCGATTAGAAACCGCAGCTGTTGCGCTTTACTATTACTCGTTCTTTTTCGGAGCATTGATCGGGACCTTGATTATTCTCGGCCTGTTTTTCACCTCATACTATCCCATCGCCATTTTGTATCTGAGCTGGGCCTATCTCATCGATGGACGCACCCCAGACCACGGAGGGCGGCGATCTAACTTCGTAAGAAGACTGCGAGTGTGGAAATATTTCAGGGATTACTTTCCGATCAAGTTGATCAAAACAGAGGAACTTGAGCCGAGCAAGAACTACATATTTGGCTACCATCCTCACGGGATTCTGTGCTCGGGGGCCTTCTGTAATTTTGCCACCGAAGCCACAGATTTTAGTGGTATTTTTCCGGGAATAACTCCACATTTGTTACCGCTTATGGGTGAGTAAATAGTGAATTTTCAAATAGCTTGAGATTAGGACAAGTCATTATCACGGATGAGTTTTATCGCGTCGTGGGATTTTTTGTTGTTGTTGTTGTTTTGGTTTGTTTTGTTTTGTTTTTGTTTTTTTGTTTTTTTGTCATGTCACGCATTTTACAGTAAGAACGTGCACGATAACACAACATATTGCGTGACCAGATGCAACATGATGTGATTTCCTTTTTTTTTGGAAAAAAATAAATTTCTTATGATAAAAAAGATATCCATACCCACCCCGAGGAGAGTTGCCGGAAATTCCAAGAGGAGTAGGTTCTCAAAAGCCCAAAGTTTTGAGGAAACAGTGAAGCAAAACTGGCATTTCCACAGATATAGCGGGGTGCAAACCAAAAACCCCTCCACGGGAGTGGTGTGGATAGTTTTTGGAACAACACAACCCTTTTTTTTTCTTGATTATTGAAGTTTTGTTCACGTTGTTGTGAATGTCTTTAAATTCATAGCCTTGTTTAAGCCTCCATTATTCCGTGACTATATCATGAGCAGCGGAATGTGTAATGTCACTCGTGAGAGCTGTGAGTACATACTGACCGAGAAGGGACCTGGTAATTCAGTCGTGATCGTGGTGGGAGGGGCTGAGGAGGCATTTGACGCTCATCCTGGAACTTACACCTTAATCCTGAAGCCACGGAAAGGATTTATCAAACTTGCCCTGCGAACTGGGTGAGTTGCAGACATCGATAACTCTTTACACATCTAGCCTCTTCCAAGCATTTAGTTAGTTGGGGCGCAGCGCGAAAACGGTGAGCTCTCTCACTGTGCTTTTGCGCTACGCCCCAACTAACTGAACGCCTGGATTAAGGCTATCACACATCTTGCTTACAGTGTCAGACAGTACAAGCAAATCTTGTTTTTTTGTGTGTTTATCTTACATTGTTTTATGTGTTGGATGTGTATACGTTCAAGACAAAACAAGAACAGTTTTGTATGTTTATTTATTTATTGTTTTTGTGCACAGCCGTTAGATCATGGGGGTACTTTCTTATATGGGCTATATAGCTAGGTATGTGCGGCCCCAAATAGTAGGGTTTTTCAGCCGTTTTAGTCATAAAAAGGGTATCGAGTTTGGCCATTTTGGTTAAAAATAGGGTATGGTTTTAGCACTCTAGTCCTGAATTGGGTATGTTTCTTAGAAGAAGCTACCTTTTCATCTTTAACTGTCAACAAAAGCCCTTCATAACTTATGTTTGGGGCAACTGTGTCAGCCGTAACGGTCATAAAATAGGCTATCGAATTTTTGGACGGGTCATATATAGGGTAGCAAAAAACGCAGATTTTGGTCATAAATAGGGTTGGGGTTTTGGAAAGAAGGCCGCACACCCCACCCAACTTTTCTGGAAGAATTCCGCCCCCCCATCCAGGCTTTAGATCTTACAAGAAACCTGAAGTAAGTCAATTTAAAACTTTACTGGGGCTTGAATATAGGTGCTTCAGTTTGCTTATTACTAACTGCAGTCCTGCAGGTGCATAAAACAAGAAATTGCACTCATGAACATGCTGACTTTGACTAAAGCTGCCTGGGACATAGAGCTGCAACAAAATACCTGACAACAAAGGTTCTGAAGTCAGCTAAAACTCCTTTTCCACCATTTCATGTACAATTTATCGTTTCTGATAATATTTTCCATCTTTAGAGCCTCTCTTGTTCCAGTGTTTGCCTTTGGTGAAAATGACCTTTTCAACCAAGTAAGTAACCCTCGAGGATCAAGGCTACGAGACATTCAACTCAAAATTCAAAAGAAAGTTGCATTTGCTCCTGTTCTTTTTCATGGACGTGGAATTTTCCAGTACACATTTGGATTACTGCCACACAGGAAACCAGTCAATGTTGTTGGTAAGTTTAAAATAAAATACATAAATATCAGGAAAGAGGCTTAGAGCCATTATGTGTTTGAGTTAAACAGGCTAAATATGCCTTTTTAAAAACATTTCCAGCACCTTTATTGTACAGGCTACAATTAATGTTTGCAAAAAGTTGATAGTAGATGTAGCACATGTACTGGCAACTGGCAATGGAACTAGGAAACTTCAGAAATATTTGGAATGTCTCAAAATCTTTGGACATCTTCTGATATGGTTGGATCATCTTCGTTGTCTTCAACGTCTGGCATCTGTGACTCAGAATAAAAACGAAACAGCTGGCAGGCGCTAAACCTTGGGCATCATATCTCAATAATTATATTTTTTAATTTTGTGCTTTGCAGTTGGGGCTCCTATTCCTGTTACAAAAGTTGAAAAACCAACTCCTGAACAACTTGATGATCTTCACGCCACTTACACTGAAAAACTCAAGCAGCTGTTTGAAGACAACAAAGCCAAGTATGGTGTTCCTGAGTCGACTGAGTTAATTATTTACTGAAATTTAACTTACGTACAGCTCAGTAGTATCAGATTTGCTATTGTTTCTTTGGACTTCAGGTTTTATTCATGTTCAATGCATGTGTGATGATCCCTCTCTACTAAACAGTAATTACTTATCACTAAACGACTTGCATCACATATTGGCAAAGTTACAGAATGGTAGTTCAATTTTTTTTAAAATTTGCCCATTCCCAGTTGAATATTGAAAATGCATGAATGAAGCATTCTTCATCCCAAGAAAGAAACCAAGAATAGCTGATAGATAAACTGAGTAGTCATGTTAAATAGAATAATAAATTATTAATCTCCTGTAATTATTTAATAATACTTTTACAGATATTCATAACTTTAATTACCCAATAAAAAAATATATTGTAGATCTATTTTTATACAAAATTCTTACTTTATAAATTATATTGTAAAAAAGTAGGTACTTAAATTATCTCTTTTGGATAAAAAGTTGTGTAATAAACCTTTGAAAAGTTTGTTCTGGTTAGGAAAATATAAAAGAAAGCAAGAATAGAAAATAAGTATGAGTTAATGAGATAAAACAAAGTCATGCCTTTTTTCAAGTACACTAGTAATATAATTTACAATGCCTATCATTCTGATGTATAGTTGAACTAAGCAAGAACAAGCTTCTTCTCATCCCAGCAACCTCTCTATCTATAAAATTTTTAAGTTTAATGTCTTTGGGGCGCTGTCAGGGAATGGAGGGATTCCTGCAGATGTGAAAACATAAATGACTTACTGAGTAGTTACAGGGTTTTAAGTTAAGGTGAATGACTACTGGCATAAATTAAGTTACTGAATAATGATTCCAGTGTCTTTAGGGATGTTGTACTTTGAACAGTTTTCTTCAAACAATTTTTTTAATTCTCTGACATACTCAGTGTGAAGTTGTTTGATTTGTTCATTGCTTGGACTTGTTACCCTCTCTACATGAATTGGTGAGCCAACTGAGAAAAGAATGAAAATGAAAAAAATTACTCGTTTAGGACTATTAGTCAGGTCATTAAATTCCTGGTAAATCAGTTGGTCAGAGTCAGTCAGTTAGCCTGGAAACACTGATGGATTTTCTGCTTTGTTCAACCCACTGAAAAAAAAATTTGGTGGTGTGAAACAAAAGCTGGAAATCCATCTGTGTTCACAGGATATCAGTCAGTGATAAGACAAGAATAACAAAGTCAGAAAGTCTGCTGCAGTCCGTTAATGAGTCCCATGATATATATGGCTTTGGCTGTTTGTTTTTCACTACCTACATCAAATAACTTGCAGCAAGTACAGCATATTTAGTTTTGTAGCTAAATATTTATTCCATATCATACCTACAACAGTAATAGGCTTATTGTAAGGAAGAGCTGGGATGAATTTGTATTTCCCACAAAAAGTGGTTAATGTGTTTCTGATGAGAATCTTAAACCATTTTTCCAGCCTTGTGCGTCCTGTTTTGTAGCTCTTGAAGTAGTCAAGGCTGGCAGGAATATGAAAACAGTCATTTTGTCCAAATCCAAAGACAGGAACCAGGGACGATCTGCATTAAAAAGTAAAAGACAGAAGAGTGTTAATTACTGAACATTTTATTTTGGTATGAATCAATATCTGACTGCCACATAAGAACCATCTTGGCACTATCAACCTTCTGACATGATCGTCCCAAGTCATGGGTTTAATGATGGTGAGAAATTTTGGTTGCATGCAGGACAATATTTAATAACACTCAGGAACTGAGCATGTGAGAGCTGAGTGTCTTGCTAAAGACCACAATATAAAATATATAAAAAGGACGGGGCTGCTCCGGAAATTTTGGCATGAGCCCCTAAGGGGTACCAAGATCCAGTTTTGTGGGCGTGGCTTGGAAGTTTTTTCACCCCTAAGAGGTACCAATTTTAAAGCAACACATTATCTCATGTAATACCTTTTTTCAGTTCAATACCCTAAACTGTAAAAGCTCCCTCTGTGAACCTTTTGAGGCCAAACACCCTGAGGTACCAAAATCGCCTTTTTAACCCCTAAGAGGTACAACGAGCACCCCCGTCCTTCTTATATGGGAGTTCCTCTCGGGCTCCAACCGAGGATTAAACCCAGACCTGTTGATCTGGAGTCAGTCCTGTTACTAAAACCTGCTTGGGGAAGAAGTACAGGCTCATTTCCCAAACAAGGGCTGGATATGAAGCTAAACAGTGCTAAGCGAGTCTAACAAGTGAACCAAGTGTTCATCAAAATAACTAAAAGTCTGACTCGTACCCTGTCTCTAAAGCCATTTTGATAAACTGTCTTCGTCTGTTCAGAGTTAAGATGTATTCTTTGGAGCTTGAGTCTAGAGACTCTGCAGCGCCTCCAGGTATTAAAACCAAAGAATGGCCTGGGCCGATCTGAGTCAAGACGTATCTACAACTCTCTAACCCTACATCCACAACTCGAAGCCACAATGCAATCTCACGTAAAATTGGTGACCAAAGTATCACTAGAAGAATAAAAGTGCCAAGGGGTCAAAAATATTTTCCAGTGGGGAAGGTGATAACATCATTACTAGTGCTAATTTTGAAACATCTTACAGGAGCGTCAATGATGGATCAAGAAGTGCTCAAAAGATAGAGCATGGAGCTAAGATGAGCACTTTTGGAGGTGGCTTCAGATGGGGTAAAATGGGTAAACTGGGAAAATGGGATTTGAGTCACTGGGACTGAGAATCACAAACAATGACAATGGAAAAGCAGCTGGGATTTGGGCGAAACATAGTAAATGGGATTTATACCCCTTTTTCCTCCCCCCCTCCACCCTTTTCCCTCTGTCTTCAGGATCCCCCTCTTCTAACCATTTGAACCACTTGCAGACCTTATATTTCAACCATTGAGTTCTGTTGGTTGGTCATAATATTCTACTGGAAAATTAATTAAGCAGTTGAGCAAATGCATTTTGGAAATCTCCAGATTTCAACAATGATCCATCACTTACAGTAAAATGTTTTTAAATTATGTGATATCACTTTCCAAATTCATCTAAAAACGAAGGTCTGTATTTTGGCTTCTCAGTGCAAAAGAATCGTTTGCCATAATTTACCCCACCAGGGGTTAGCATAGTCCATTATGAGTAGTACCCCCCCCCCCCCCCCCCCCCC